CTTTTGAAATTAAGATAATAATTTTTTCCTGTGGACTAATTCAGTCCAAATAATTTGAAAATTAAAAAGCCGGAAAACTTGCTTTTTCAGCCTGATAATAAACAGGAATGTGAAGGTTGAATTAGCTGTGTATCTCAATATTTTAGGTTTCTGTCATCTAATTTTTTTATTTTTATTTTTTGCTTTATAACAAACAGTTCTTTAAAAATTTGTATATTAAAAAATTACACTATTGTATGTGTGTATAAATCCAGAAACTTTGTTGTTTTAAATACGGAAATTCAAGTTTTTTATGATGTTAATTCTAGCAGCATTTGTTTTGGATTATAGTCATACTGGATTGTAAATTTTTGAAGACAAGTATTATGACTTAATTTTTTCCCTAGAACTTAGCACGCTACCTTACATATGGAAAGCAATGAGTATGATTAATTTGAGTAGTTATTTTTGAATGAATTAATCTATGATGAAATACTGTTTTTTTCTTTTTAAGTTCTACGTTTTTAAGTTTTTTCTCAAGTTTCTTTTAAGTTCAATTATTTTTTTAACGTTCATTGAATAAAAAAAACCTAGAAAAATATAAACTAAAATTTATTTAGAATTATATTTTCTTATAGAAATAATTATGTCTGAAATGTGAAGAATAGTTATAGATTAATGTCACTTAGCATTAGAAAATTCATATTTACTAAAATAGTACGTTGTGAGGTGATTATTGATTTTTACAAAAGGATGCTTTTAAAAATTGATTTGTAACTTTGTAATTCAGACTTCTTCAGGTAGTAAGAACTTAATCAAATCACCATTTTACTTAGTAAATTAGAGTTTATCCAGGAATGAACCAATTTTGTAGAGTAAGTCATATGTTATCTGCCAAACATACCAAACTTAAAAATTGAGCTTTTTTTGTAGGAAAAAAATTAAGTATGTGTACATTTAATTTAATGAAATCCACTATAATACCAGGTATCTTTATTTTATAGTAAGGAAAACTGAGATATAACTTGCTGCCTCGTCTGGAGATACATGGTGAGTTTGGAGGTCAAAATTAGATCTAAGAATCTCTGAATCCCAAGTTTCACGTTTCAATATTTGGCTTTACTTAAAGTGACTTATAAAATTGACTGATATCATGTGTCAGTACTTAGATAACAAAGTACAGAAAGCCAACTCTTCAACTTGGTGGGGGACAACACTTTTCAGCCAGAATGTAAGTGTTGCTGCCACGATTGATAGTACTATATGTGGTTTTTGTCCTCATAACTTTGCTTTAGGAGAAAGGATGAGACATAGGCACGTTTCCTTAAAGACAAAAACACTTAAAATTGTTAAAGTTACAACTGCTCCCATAAAAAGAAATAATGTAAATTAGAAAATGAGTAAAGTAGAAATGAAAATTTTCTCCCTGTGCCCAGTGATAGCTACTGTTACCAGTTTGGTATGTATAATCACATGTTTCTTTTATGCATAGACAAAAACTATTTCTAAGAAAAATTGTAAAGCTATTATGTATCTTTAAACATTTTTTCTCAATGGTGTGTCCTAGATGTATTAACAGTGGCAGTGCCCTGTAAGAAGAGTGAGAAAGACTTTTGTCTTCTGTGTGAGTTTGCTAGGGCTGCCATGACAAAGTATCATAGACTAGATGGCTTAAACAACAGATACTTATTTTCTCACAATTCTGAAGGCTAGGAATCTAAGATCAAGGTGTTGAAAGGGTTAGTTCCTTTCAAGGGCCATGAAGGAAGGATATGTTGATGGCCTCTGTCCTTGGCTTATAGACAGTCATCTGCTTCCTGTGTCTTCAGATGATCTTACCCCCATACCTGTATCTGTGTCCTGATCTCTTTTTTTAAGGACACCAGTTATAGTAGATTAGCTGCCCACCCTTGTAACCTCATTTTAGCTTAATTACCCCTTTAAATACTCTGCCTCCAAATATAGTCACATTATATGAGGTATTGAAGGTGAGGGCTTCAATATATGAATTTTGGAGACACACAGTTCAGCTCTTAACATGTACCAACTGGAAATAAATGATACCCTTATTATTAGTGTACAGTGAATTTCCCTTATCTTTTAAAATTAGGCATGGCCTGATTTTGCCTGGTTTCCTAGTCCATAGATTATTGTATACTATATCCCTACTGCTTATCTAATGCAAAGAGAGAAATACACTCTTAAGGAGCTCAGTTTGGCCTTGAACATATAATATTATTTTCAATCATTTGACTTGAAGCACTCTATATAATTAGTGAAACAGTATAGTTTAGAAAAGATGGGGCTGCTTCATAGCGTTCATGACATTTGGGAAAATGAGAAGGCCTTTTTTTTTTTTTTTTTTTTTTTTTGGTTGGTGGAATACTAAATGTTTAAATAATGTTAGGCCAGGAAATGATTTGTAACATACATTGATAGAAGGGAAATTTTTTTTTAATTTATAAAAGAGTGGCGCCTGCTTTAAGAAGATGTTTCCTTTGTATGCCATCCCCAAAGCACTGTTTCAATTAGTACTATCTTATAAGACCACAGTAGAACTTTGTCTTAATTTTGGGTCAGTAGTAGAAGTGGTATTACTTTGGTATAATAAAAAATGACCTTTAGAAATGACTACAATTAAATGATAAATTAAAGATATTATTGTCTAAACCAGACCCTGGAGGTTTTTTTTCTTTCTTCCCCTGTATCATTCATATATGTATATATATTATTTTTCTTTTTTGTATATCTGGTTAAGCACCACTTGTATCCATCTCCGTTGCTCTTACTTTTGCTTATACCTTCAGTACTATTTCTGTTTTTCCCCTTATCCCCTCTTCTTCCTCTTTCTTTTTCTTCTCCATCTCAGCTAAAAGCAATATATACACACAGTTTAAAAATTCATACAGCCTAAAAAGGCTTTAAATGGTTTCCACAGTTTCTTGATGAGTGCTTATGTGCATATGTATGTATGCTTCCTCCTGCATAATCAGTTTTAACCATTTTGTAGTAATGTTCTCTCATGAGGATTTTTGCTTTCTTACAGCTACCCCTTCTTTCCCTCCAAGTATTTCCAATATAATTACCTAATTTTTGGTTAAATCTGTATTAGGTATTTTCATTATGATGACCATAGTAAATACTGTTCACTGATGAGCGTGGTAATATGCTATTAATACGCTGTTCTACATAGAATAGCATATGAGAGGATAGGTTTCCTTTTACTTTTTTTCTTTCTTTCTTTTGTTTTTTCCAGCAATTAATACTTTTCATGTTTTTTTATTAAAATCTATAGCCAGGTCTTCTCACACTTTCAGGAGCCTCTCAGTTCAGTTTCCTACACAGTAAAACTTAAGTAGTCTTAAAGTTAATATTCTAATCATCTTTGGTCTTCTAGAGGTATTCCTCCTAAAGGTGCTGTTCTCTTGACTAGCCTGGACTGGTTGTTCTCTAGGCCTACTGAACCTTTGTTGTATTGTGTTGAATGCCATGTTTTGTACATCCTGTGTCTTCTTCTTTCTTAATTGAATCTCAGGTTTTGTGGATTCCCTAGTAGCGTCCTGAGAAAGGGTACCTGGGAAGTAAATCTTGTGTCATGTTGCTGGTCCTTACTCTCACACTTGATGAAAAGTTTGCCTGGGTGTATAGAATTCTAAATTGAAGAATTGCTAAGAATTTTTAAAGTATTATTTTACTGTCTTCTAGCTTCTGTTCTAATTACTCTTGATCTTATATGACCTGTTTCCTGTCTCCTGCACCTCACCCGCCACCTCTGCAGATCTGAGGATGTTTTCTTTATCTTTTTTGTTCTGAAATTTGGTAATGATATGTCTTGGTGTAACTTTTCTCTTGATTGTTGTGTTAAGTACTAATGGGGCCTTTCAACCCAGAGATTTTCGTCTTCTGATCTAGAAAATTTTCATGCATTATTTTTTTCTAACCTACCCTCCTGCTTTTTCTCAATCATCTTTTTTCAAATTTTATTAGGTAAGTGTTATACCTTTGAAATTGATTTTCTAACAACCTAGTGTCATCTTCTCTATTTAGTTTATGTATACATATGTGTGTTTGTGTGTGTGAGTGTGTGCATATATATATATTCTTTATTTATTAAATTCTGATTTTTTTATAACTGAAATAAATTTTGGCTATCATATTTTAATTCTATTTTTTGTTTTCTGAGCATTACTTTTTGTAACATTGCTTTTTGTCTCATATCTCTAAAATGCTAATTATATTTCCTCTAGTATTTGCCTTGCTTTTTTGCAATCTCTCTTTTCCTTAGGATTCTTTATTTTGTTGATTTTGGTCTGAAGGACAGGAGGTTTTTCTAAAATTTTTGATGTTTATTAGTTGTCTATTTGTATTGAAGACTGAGGCACTAAAATGCTTCCCAGGAGCTCTGTGCTTGGTCAGAACTTCTAGGATGGTGATATTTACTGTATGTTCTTTGGCCTGTTTCCTCAGGCGAGAAATGTCTTAATTTTACCTGAATGGAAAAAGCCTGACTTTGTTCTTCTATCTTAGTCTAGCACCTCATCCCTGCTTTGCTCTGTATTGGCATTCCTGAGTTTGGTTCAGTTTTTCTAGTATATCTCCTATGTGTTACCTCTTATTCTTAGTTTATCTCCCTTTTATTAATACATTTTTTTCAGATAATGTCTAGATGTAGGGGTTTTTTGTAGAAGTAATCATACTTCAGGCATGTGACTGAAACTCACTTTGTTCCCAAATTTTCTGTCCACTGGGGAAAAAAAAGTACTGTCAAGCATTATTTATCTGTCTGTCTGTCTGTCTGTCTGTCTCTCTTTCATCTCTTTATCTGAATTTTAGTAGGTTATATCTTACAGAATGAGCTCTGGGTTTCTCTCTGTTGCTACCATGTACCAATTATGAATATCAATTCAGAAACTGCTATTAGGATTATTAAAGTATATCTTAAATGTCATACTATGTATTACAAAAATTTATTTATTTTTCTTTTTGAAAATAAGGTTTGCTTCTTTCCTTTTGAAAATTAGATAATTCAAAAATGGCAGAACTCTTTATGGAATGCGAAGAGGAAGAGTTGGAACCATGGCAGAAGAAAGTGAAAGAGGTTGATGATGATGATGACGATGAACCAATCTTTGTTGGAGAGATAACAAGTTCAAAACCAGCAATTTCAAGTAAGCATTTACTTTTAGTGAAGCCCAGTGTTGTAAGATACTGTTTCCAATGGACAAACATGTGAGCTGTCTTACAGGTATTTAAGTCCCTGTTTATCTGTAAAGAGTTGGGAATGAAAGATTGAGTGGGGGTCAGTACGAAATTCAGAATCAGGGTTTTGACTGCAAACTTGAGGAAGGAGGTAAGACATTAAAATATCAGATGTAAGAAAAAGAAATGGACTAAGATTAACTGGTGACTTTTCGTATTAAGGATCGTTAAGTTTTAGTGGAGCCAAGTAACCTATTTATCTGCTTGTTTTTTTTTTATTTTTCTTCCACTTAAACTCAGAAACAGAAGAGTTTAGAATACTTTGCTTAAAATGTCAGAATTCACTAAATAAGTCTGGGTTAGTCTTAGACAGGGGTTCTCACATCCAAGCAACCGCCTTATTGCAGTGTCATCTCTACATACCTACAAGATGTATAAGCAGTGAAAGATTGCACAGTCTCTCTGGCCTTTGTGCTAACGGGAACTGCAGTTTCTGGCCACGTCCATCTTCCAGCAACTCTCATTCATATTCATGAAGGAGAAAGACACTGTCTGCAGCCACTGTATTTGGATGGTGTAGCAGTTAGTTAACACTTAAATCCTTCTGGTTTTCTAGCAGAATACCTCAGTACCTTTGTGAATGATTAAATTTCAGTTAGAGTAATTGCATTTGACATTGTTATAATGTTAAAGACCAATGACACTTGATAAAATGCCTGTTCAAAAATGTATAGAAGTGAAGAGAAATAATGTACACATTTCAGGGGAGAAAGAGAAAATAGATCTCTTTCCACTGCATTTATGTTGTTTTGATTGCCTGTTTAAGTCAGAAGAATTTACTGAAGAATGTAACCAGCATACTAGTGTTTTCTTACCAAGGCATTGAGTGCTTAAAAGTGTAAGAGACCACTTTTAAATTTTCTGAAAGCCTGGTTCTTTCTTCTGTTGCCTCTTTTAGAATGGCACTTCTATTCAGTTTTATCAGAGGGATAATAATTTAACCAATTCTCAATACCATTTTCCATGGTAGATTGATAATTTCTCATAGTGGTTCTAAGTGGAGTGGCACTTCAATTATAAATTGAATGAGGCATGATGGCATGCTGGTTGACGATTGTGGAACATAACTATATATTCTCTTCATTACTATTTCTAGTCATTGTGATTATTTTATACTGGAGTAACACCATACTGTGAAGTTGTTACTCAAGTTCTCTTATTGAAAACATCAAAATTAAGATTCAGATTGCATTTATACTTATTGTAGATGACTATTAACAGTATTCAACTAGAAGAGTGTATTTTTTTTAAATTTTTTTAATTGAATTATAGTCAGTTTACAATGTTATGTCAATTTCCAGTGTAGAGCACAATTTTTCAGTTATATATAAAGCAGAACAATGTATATTAGTTTTAAAATAATTCTGTCTAAAGGAGATTTACCCTAGTAGAATTAATTTTCTATACTGTTAAAATGCAGAATTTAAATTTATTGTTATTTGTGTATAAGCCATAAAATATTTTAACATATGGAGTACGAGTTAAATGTTTATATATAATTGCTAGAAAGAAAGGTAAAAATTTTTGTTTTGTAGAACACAACCACCAAACAATACTTTAGCATTACTTCCTTGATGGTTTGAGTAAATACTTAATCTTGAATTTTGAAATGAAAATGGTGTTGAATTATTTGAGCAGATTTTTCTTCTTTAAGACATCTGTAGTTAGGTATAGTGCCCTGTATTGCAATTATCAGAAACCAATCCTACTTTTGTGTGGCCCTTTACTTTATAGAATTATTTTATGGGAGCTGGTTCCTTTCTACTATGAGAGAAAAGAAGGAAATTTATATGATATCTCATGTTTGTGCTTTTACCTTTTTCTAACCAACAATTTTAGCCAAGTCCTCACTTTTCTGAATTTTACTTTGATACTTAACAGCCTGTAAATTACTGAGTTCACATGCGTGCATTCAGTTAGGAACCTTAAACTGACCCTGAAAGTCATCGTAGGTTCTGATTGACTTTTAGTGTAGTGGTAGACTTGAAACCCCTTAAGTTATTAGGTAGTCTGGTAAACTGTAGGTTCATTTTAGTCTACAGTCTCTGATAGTTTCCCTTTCAGGACTCAAGTAATGGTGCAGATAATCCAATGAGTTCCCTCATAATGATGCTTCAGGGCTTTCAGGGGTGTGACTAGGACATGAAAGTTGGACAAGGCTTTGATTTTGAGTAATAGGAACCTGAGTATATATATAGTCCTTTCATCCTTCAAAGATATATACTTTAATTATAGTTGTATATGAGTTTGTATTTGGAAAATTTTTGCTGATTATGTGGACTGTTTCTTTGCTATGCAGAAGATTTGTCTTAGTACTTACATTGATCAATCTTTTACTTAGGGCTTTAGATTTTGATTACAGTTAGGAAGATTGACTGTTCTTATTCTATGAAACAGTTAAGATGGGTAATCATATTTCTTTAGTACATAAAGATTTATATATTTAAAATTAACTGTATTCTTAAATCAGCGTTAACTTGTATACGCCGTCCAGAAATCTGTTTGTTTTCAATTTATGATTTCTTTATCTTAATATGTATTTCATTCAAACAATGAATTTTAAAATAAATGTAATTTTTTATAGATATTTTGAATAGAGTAAACCCCAGCTCATATTCAAGGGGAATCAAGAATGGTGCACTCAGCCGAGGTACAGTATTATTTTACTGTTTTAGTTTTAATGTGAAGTATTTTGACACCATTGATTATATAGAAAAATATTCAATGTATTGTGTAATTTTAAAATACAGGTATTACTGCTGCATTCAAGCCTACAAGTCAACACTACACGAACCCAACATCAAATCCAGTGGCTGCCTCGCCAGTAAACTTTCATCCTGAATCTAGATCTTCAGATAGTTCTGTTATTGTTCAGCCTTTGTCTAAACCTGTAAGTGTTTCTGAAACTACACAGTCAGCTTAGGGATACATTGGATATTATTTATCAATATCAACAATGCCCAGTGAAATTCTGGACTACTATGAATAGTCACCCAATAGAATCAATCAGTATCAGAAAATGTCACCATCTTTATGATAGCTCACCCAGTACCCACATAATAATTGCAAGAACAAATTACCCAGCCTGTTCCTAAGTCAGGTAATATGCTCAAACTAAATAGGTACAATATTGAAAACTGTGCTATCAAAACACGAATAAAAGTATAACCAATATAATCAGTAATGAATAAGGGCAAACTATTTCAGATTGTAAACTGGGCCAAGTTCTTAATTGGGAAAGTTATTGAGAGGCTACCATAGCTTTTTATTCTGAAAACATACCTTCATAGTTTAGTTAATTCAAAAACTCTTAACAAAAAGTAATAGTTAATATTTATTGAGCTGTCAATATGTATAAGGCTTTGTGCTAAATACTATACATAAATTAATCTCAATTTTTAAATGAAGTAGGCACTATTATTTATCTATGTTTTATAGTTGAGGAAACTGAGGCTCACATGGGTTAAATCATTCACTGAAGGTCACATAGCTGGAAATGGATGCATCTGGGATTTTGATCCAGACCAGCCCATAGTTTACATGTGTTTGTATTCATACATGGATGTGTGTTGTGTGTAAATGTATACTTTTTTAAAAAATGGGAGCATTGCCTTAGTGCAACAACACTTGTTCAAAGTGTAGTCTCTAGTTCCCCTGAGGTTTCCCTGAGACTCCTTCATGGGTTTGGGATCAACCCATGATCCCATTGTTATAACAACACAAAGACACTATTTACGTTTTTCACTGTGTTGACATTTGCAACGATGATACAAAAGCAGTGGTGGGTAAATTGCTGGTGCCTTAGTATGAATAAAGACAGTGGTAGCAAGCTGTACTAGTAATTTTGATAGTTGTCACCACCATGCACTCACAATAAAAATTATTCCAGTCATTCTCAATTCCCTTGATGAAGTATTAAAACGTCATTAGTTTTGTTAACTCTCTACCCTTGAGTATGTGTCTTTCAAGATATTTTGTGTGATGAAATGGGTAGTGTACATAAAGCACTTCTGTGCCTGAGCTATAATGATTATCTTGAGGAAAAGTGATTGAACCATGAGCTAAACTACCCACTTTTAAAAAGTGGACCATTTTTACTTGAAAGAATGACTAACAAGCTATGGTGTTTGTTTATTTCTGGGTATTGATATTATTAATTTAGTAGTTTAAAACCACACAGTTATTATCTCAGTTTTTGTGAGTTGGAATCAGATCATAGCTTAGCTAAATCCCCTGCTTCAGGCTCTCTGGAGACTACATTGAAGGTATGCGCTCTGAACTTGCAGCCTCATCTGAAGCTCAGCTGAGGAAGTATCTGCTTCCAAGTTCTCATGGTTATTGGCAGCATTCAGATCCTTAAGGGCTGTCAGATTGAGAGTTTCAGTATATTACTGGCTTTTGACTGGTTCCTTGCCAGGTGGGTCTTCCCAACATAGATGGTTTCTTGCTTCCTGAAAGCCTATAAGGGAGAAAGAATCCTTAGCAATCCTGCTAAGGCATTACAACCTTATGTAATGTAATCACATACAAAAAAAAATCAGGAAGTCCTGTCACTTTCGCTCTATTTTGTTGGTTAGAAGCAAGTCACATGTCTTGCCCACACTCTAAGGGAGGGAATCCCAGGGAGTGGGGATCATGGAGGCTACTTTAGAATCTGTCTGCCACACACACTGAGTTCTTCAGTCTTGGTTATTTGGCAGACATTTTCTCAAAATTGAACAAAGTGTACCTGTCACTTAAAGAAAAACAACTGATAGTATTTCTTGCCAATGATGAAATTTGAGCTATAAAGCAAAAATTAGAATTTTGAACGACTTGTATCTGCCATCATGATCTTGACAGCTTCCCAATACATAAAGACTTTTCTGATTGTGATGGTACTAATAAATATGATTTTTTGTTATTGTATAATGAACTCTGTCAACATTTGGAAGATCTGAATAATTTAGAGAAACCAATATTTTATAAATAACCAATGTATGATGTTATAAAATGCTTGGATAAAAGATTCATTCATAGTGGAAGATAGACCATTAGATTTTAATGTAACAAAGTTCAGGAAGTTCACAGTAAGAACTCAGATTCCACATTGCACCAGACCTTTAAGAAAATATTATTGAGTTTTGGTGTAGTATCAAACAAATATATCCACATTTATCCTAAATTGCTATTATAATACTCTCTTTTTCAACTGTTAATCTTTCTGAAGGCAGATTGTCTTTATATTCTTTATCCAAAACAACATTCTAAAAGAATGAAAGCAGAAACAGATAGGAGAGTACAGCAATTTTTGATAAATCTAGACATTAAAGAGATTGCAGAAATGTATAACAGTGCCACTATTTTCACTAATTTTTTGTGTTGGCTAGTCATTTTTTATAAAAATGTTATGGTAATTTGTAATGGGCTTATTATTGTTATTTTAAATGAAAATAAACAAATATTTTAAAAAATTCTGTTTTAATCTGTAATATGGAAAATATCGATAGATGTAACCTACTTAAATAAAAACTCTTTTGGGTTCTCAGTAATTTTTAAATGTTTAAGGGGTCCTGAATCCAAGGAGTTAAAAAAAAGTTACCCAAAATGGAAAGATTCTTTGCTACTAGTTGGAATTGAATTAACTCAATGGTTTTTTTCATGCTGATAACTTAAGCTGTTTGGCATTGGAATTACAGAAATACTAAATTTTCCTTCAAATGTTTGTTCTTTTTATAGTGAGTGAAACAACTACCAAATCACTTGTAAATTTTCTTGCAAATATTCAAGTTCAAAACCAGAATTGAATCTAAATAATCTAAATATTTTTAGTATGAATAATCCATTTTTCATTATTTCATATCATGTTACTATAAGGTAATTTACATATATGTTAGCACTAAAAATTGATATTTTGAGGAGATATCTTTCATAGAAAAGGAAAATCTATGGTTCAATAAACTCAACTCCCACCTACACTTTGAAGATGTATGTATCATAAAAAATAGAAATGTCTTTGGGCAAACAGCTTCCCTTTACCACCCCCCAGATCTTTTCAGTGGCTTTAGTACTCTGAAATAATCATTTGTATTGATATGAGCCCTAGACTAGTAGTTTAAAAAACTTATATTGAAGCAAGAGACTTGAATGTTGATTCTTCCTTGTTCTTAACTTAAGCATTATCAAAACCTCTCTGACCCTCCTTTTCTTCTTTCTAAAATGAGAGAGAATTTTACCCAGAACACTGACTTTTAATCTTGGATCCTAAGGTTCCACAGGTCATTTCTCGTGTTTCGAAAGATAGCAGGCTACCCAAAATGTAAAGATTATTTGTTATTGGAGTCAAGTGAACTTGGTGGTTTTCTCAAGCTTATTGTAAGCTGTTTGGCATTTGGGGGATAGAAAATCAGAAAAAGCAGCTTTATTATTTAATTAAATTTGATGGATAAAAACCTTTCCAATGTTGAACCTAGGGAGAGAAAAATAACAAAATGAGGGGTGGCATCTTTGGTGTTATAAAAGTTAGAAACTAGAGCTTTTTCTAACTTAAAATGTTTTACTTTTATGGGCATATTTTTTAAGTCTAAGCACCTCAGTTGATTGTTCCCAATCTTGGGGAGTTTCTAAAAGGAGAAATTTTGTCAATTGGACTGGGTAGTTGAGTCTGGGAAATAAAACATTTTAAAAAGCTTTCCAAGTGATTTTTAATGTTCACTGTTAAGAATGTCATAGATTTATTCTGGCATGAATTGAGAATTCTTTTTAAGGGAATTTACTATGAATTTTGGAAGCCACTGCTTTTAATAAATTGTAACTATTTTTCGTTTGATGTCATGTTTTGTGTGTATGTGTGTGTTTACTTTTTCATGTAATATCTTTATACTTCAATATCTCTTTCAGATCTCTTTCAGGTAGCAAGAATATATTATCATTTTAAAAGTCATTGTGATATAGCTTAAGAGTATATCACAAAAGCTTAATTAAGCCTTTGTAATCCTGCAGACCCAGGCTGTAATTACAGCTCCATCAGTAATAAGCAGGGCCGTGTTGGGAACCTTATGTAACCACACCTGAGCTTAGTTTGCCTGTTTATAAAATGTGTTACGACATTAGGGCTTTATTAGTACTGTTGTGACAACTACTTGATTTAATACGTACAATGTACCAAGAAGTGCAAGTACATTTAAAACACAATTATGGCTATTTTTTAAGTTTAAGAGGTGAATAACTTGTAGTTCAGAAGTGACTTACTTGGCCAAGATCTGATAGCTAAATAAATGTGTGGATCTTCTGGATCCCAGTCCTAGCACCTCCTCTGCCCTTAGTATGGAATTTGCTATCTCTCTGAACTGTTTTTGGAGACATTAAAAATTCCATTTTAGATAATTACTTCAACCAGTTATTGTTGAATAATATGTGCCTGCTCTTTGAAATTGTGTCTAAATTAACCAGAGTTGTTTCCCAGGAAAGTGTTTAACAGTATTAACTTTATACTTCTGTTAAAGAACTGTTTTGGAAAATGCCAATGAAGAAAGTATTTATCCTGAAGCATGATTGTGCTTGCTTACAATTAAGTCATACAGCTTTACTGATTTTTTTTTTAATGCTGCATATTAGGGTTTAAACACAAATATCTGCCTGTTAGGCCTCAAATTTTCAGAGTGGTTTGGGTTTCTTCAATACCTGTTTCCATAACAACTTTTAAAAAAAAAATAACAATGATTTATTTAGTCACAAACCTGTAATTTGTGTAGGGTGTGGTAAGAAAGGCTTATCTTTCTATTAAATTAAAAAAAAATTTTTATTGAGGAATGATTGATATACAACATTATGTTAGTTTCAGGTATATAACTTAGTGAATCAGTATTTGTATACATTGTGAAACAGTCATCACAGTAAGTCTAGTTAAAGTCGATCACCATATGTAGTTTCAGAATTCTTTTCTTGTGATAAGAAATTTTGAGATCTTTCCTAGCAAAATTTTCCTGCAGAAAAGTTATACCTAAATATAACCTCTACATTGCCAATAGTAAATGTTATCATTATTTTTTATTCATGAATTTTAATTTTATTTCAAACTAATTTTAGACTTAGAGGAAAAATAATACAGTATACCCCAACCCATTTTTCCCTGATGCTAAAACCTTATAGCTAACCTTATTTGAATTTTACCAGTTTTTCCATTATTGTCATTTATTTTTCCCAGGAGCCTATTCAGGATCACACCTTGCAGTTAGTTGTATCTTAGTCTCCTCATATTTTCCTACAGTTACTTATTCTTTTTCTATTACGAGCTTGATAATTTTAAGAGGAGTGGCAGTTATTTTGTATTATGTAATATTGTCTATAAAATATTACCAATAGTTAAAAATCACCATTCTCTTTATTTGTATTTCTTTGACTAGTAGTTGGAAAAAAAGTTTTTTGTGTGTGTTGGTCATTTATATTTTGCTTTTGAAGAACCTCAGTTTGTGTCCCTTCCCCATTTTTCTCTTAAAGTGACTTTTTCCCTTTTGATCTTTTAAGCATTGTTGATCTTAAAACTTTTGTTTTTATGTATTATGACATATAGAATGAACCAGAAGTCACTCTAAGAGCTTACTCTCCACAGTGATGGTCTTTCATAAATAGCACTGGAATCTATTTTGTGTATGTGTGTATCAGTGTATTTACTATATAATCATTTTGGTGTGCATGTGCATCCCTAAATTATATTGACCACACTTTCAATAATTATTTATACTAAATATATGTGTGCTAACATATAAATTTTTACTACCTTGTACTTGGCTATATTATGAGTCATCTCATACTTCTCACTCTTCTCTTCTTGATATCTTCCTGCTAGCTGAGACCACCCTTTCTCCTGATGGAAGGGCTGAAACTTTCCTTGAGACCTCTGGCCTCTAGGAGCAGAGCAGCTGCCTCAGATGATTCCTATAAACAGCTTCCATTCTAAAACCATTTTTGCCTGACTTTCTTACTTGTTCACCCTGCTGACAGGCAGCTTTCATATTTGCCCTATGAGATGGGAGACTGCCTGTCCCAGCATGGCTTTCTGTGGGATGGTGAGAAGAGTAGGGAACCCATTCTTTCTTTTCCTGACCCTTGGCTTATGAATTTTGCCAATAAAGATGATTCCAAAAATGATACCACGTGATATAGTCATCCCTAACCCTGATGCACCATATTGCAGATTGATTCCCAATTTGTTTGCCCTGTTATTTTATCTGTGAGGTTTATAAAGGTATAAAAGGGTACAGAAGCTTTTAAATTTGTACTCATATCAATATGTTTTCTTATTTTTTCCTTACTTTTACCCAAAGATTTTAATAAGCTCTATTATTTGCTCTTTTATAGGAATATTCAATTTTTAGTAACCCTCTAAAGTGTACCAATCTTATTGAATTAAAATGGATTTATATTTCTTTCATCTTGATAAAAATCAGACCAGAACCCCCCTCCCCCCCATTTTAATTGGCTAGTCAGGAATAAGCCAGCTCTAAGTAATAGCTTGCTTTCAGTTTTAGTAGACGATCATTTTGGCAGAGTGCAATAATTGCATTTGTGTTTTATAATGTATTAGTAATGGAGTCTTCAAAGTTATCCTTGTAATATTGGCATATAGATAAATTTACCCTTACAAAAGTTTATGAGACAAAATACTTGTAACTATGTTGAATACATGTAATATTCTTCCTTTGAAATATTTTAACAGGGTTACATAATGAACTCATCACGAGTTGTATCTAGTAATTCTTCAGAGTTACTGTTTGACTTGACCCAGGATACAGGATTACCACATTACCAAGGGGGACCAACACTTTCTATAGCAGGTTGGTTTTAGCACTTTTTCAAAAAATTAGGAAAAGAAATGTAATGAATATACATACAGAATTGAAGTCCATGCGTTCATGTGAAGTTTTCACATACTGTAAGGTAGAATGGTGCTGATAATTCTTGAATGACTTTCTTGGTGATTTTAAATAAAATCTTATTTAATAATAAAATATTTTATTTCTTCCTGGTAAGTAGGTTAACCAACTTTGAACTTGTTCTCACTTGGCATTAAATACGGGCTGAAAAATCTTAAAATAATTTCTGTATGTTAGAGAAGCCCTCTGATACCCTAAATACTCTGTTACAAGAAGTATTAATTAGGTTCTGTGGCCACTAGTGCAGAAAAGTGTATTATTATGGTTGGTTTCTTAATTAGGTTAGTGTGTTCCTATTCAATAAATGATTTTGGTATGAAATCTGATCATAGAGTATCGTTATAAAGTATCCTTACTCCCAAGAAGTTTCTTGAACAGTGACTCCTGTTCTCTAAGTTTTTTACTGCAGAGCGAGATTTTAGCCTGTAGATGTGAACTGCTATTCTTAAGCTTTTTGCAGTCTTGAGCAAGTCTTTACACTTCAGTTTTCTCATATTATTAAAATGGAGATTTTGTTTTTCTTATTTAATACATTCATTCTCCAGACCTGGAATCAGTCATTTGTAGATATAATTTTAATCCTTGCTCTATTTTAGTTAGGGCTTTCTGAGGCCCAAATAAGGTATATAGAATGTGAAATGATCATAAGCTTTAAAACACTTGACAACAAACATTTGTTATGAATGATAATAGGTGCCGTATGTTCAGTAGTATGGTTAACCGATCATTGTCAAGTGACCATGGTTATTTGGAGAGAATTGGGTTTGAGTAGTTTGCTGTTGAGTGAGAATAGGGTTTTTACTGGGAGAGAGAAAACTGTTGAGTATAGGAAACAACACAAGCCAAAGACAATAGAGGTAAATAAGTTAAAGGGTCAGATTTTAAAATTCTTAAATGCAGAGTGCTTTTATTTCTTACGTTAAAAAATTCTTATAGTAAAATTCTTTTAGCACCATCTAGCCTGTTACACTATATGATCAGAATCTTAATCCAAAATACCTACACTCATTGGCTTTTCAAGTAACCTAAGCATCTCCTAAGAATGCTGCTGCGATCACGCAAAATCTTTTCCAGATACCCATAGTGTAGCCATCAGTAATCCTGTGCTTTGAAGATGGGGAAAAAATCATTTTTATATTATCTCAGAGGATGAAACAGAGGAGCCAACTTCTGTAATACTCTTATTTTTCTGGCATATTTCCCCTTATTAAAGAGCTGACAGGTGAATCTATTAATTTTTTTCCATCTAAAGTGAGTTAAGATATAAAATATTTTGTTAGAATGACAATAGCTGTCATTTATTACTGAATGCTTTCTGTGTGCCAAATATTGTATTGGGTGCTTTAAATACACTATCTTACTGGATCGTAAAACAACTCAGTAAAATAAAGTATTATAACTCTTATTTTACAAAAGAGAAAATTGAGGCTCAGAGAATTACTTAAATAAGCTAAGAATACATAGCTAGTCAGTGACAGATCCTGGATTTGAACTTAGCCTGTCTGATTTAAAAGCCTGGAATATTTCTAATATATTTACCGCTTCTACTTCTAGTGTACAGTTGGGAGCATTAAAATATGATGTGCAGTTTTAAAATCCTTATTACCAAGTATAGTTGTGTCTTATTCTCAAAAAAGGACTTTTACCTGGCCTGGTTATAGCCTAAATATCCCCATTTCTCTTGCTAATGCTCTTAGCTTTAAGGTGATAGTTTTCAAACTAAAAACTATTTTTAGGAATGAAATCTCTGTAAAAACAAAATTTTGTGCGAAAGTCTAATAAATATAAAAGGAGAGTTTCTCTGTCTGAGGCACCCAGTGTATTCCTTAAGAGGAACCCATTAGGCTCTGGGGAAGATGATTTGTAAACCATTGTACTAACTCCTTCCATTATGAGCCCTTTTATATGAATAAATGGGGTATTGTCATTCAAAATTAGTTGTTTCTACTTTGTATGTAGAAATAAATGGATACTATAACCTAAAGCCATGAGTAGACCACTTCTTTGATAGGTAGTTAAAGAGCTATCTTTTCCTTACACATTTAAATTTGTTGACTAGAAAGCTTCTAAAGGGTCTCTCTAAATTTTTGGGTTTTTTTTTTTTAACTAACTCTAATTCACTTAAGCATCTGAAGTTAATTCATTTAAGGGAACTTAGTTTGATTCAATTTTTTTCTTTTTTCTTTTTTTTTTTTTTTGGCTTGGTGTATTTTGATCTGCCTTCTTTCATAACAGCTGTCTATTTCCTTTTTGAAGCCATGTTTAGTATTTTCTTGCATAGAAAGATATTTTATGATTTATTTGAATATATATAGTACATAATAGATGTTTGTATAGTTTGTATCCCCTAACTTTTGATTATGTCATTTAATCATTATTGTCATTTGTATGATATGATAATTCAGTTATCTTACCTTTAGTTCTGGAGTATTTTTACTTAGTAGTAAGCAATATTATAAAATCTTTAAAAGTATTTTTCCCGCTATTTAAATCATTGTAGGTATGAATGAAAGTTCATTTTTATCAAAACGTCCTTCTACATCTGAAGTAAACAGTGTTAATCCAAAAAAGTCTAAGCCCAGTGAAGGTGTTTCTGGAACAGATTCATCAGCTATATTTCCTTCAGTCAAATCTCTTTCTGTGACATCTCCCCAGGCTGTGCCATCAAAAGGTAAATATGAAATGTAGCATATAAAAAAGAAATTATATTTATACATAAATTACAGAAATTGTAGTACAAACTATTAATAGTGGTTATTGAAGGTTGAAAAGTGATGAATTTTGAATCATATATATTTTTAATTTATTTTAGGTACAAATACCTCATCAAATCAATCTAAAAATGGAACACCTTTTCCAAGAGCTTGTCCAAAGTGCAATATTCATTTCAATCTTTTGGATCCTTTGAAAAATCACATGAAGGTAAAACTTTTTAAAAATTTAATTTTAAAAAAATTTTCAGATTCCTAAAAATATTGATTGAGTTACAGTAAATAATGGTTTGTTTAGATATATAGTATATATAAGGTATAATATATAACATGTATAAGATTTATTATATTGGTATTTACATATAACATAGGTAAAAATTTATATTCATATTGATTATCATCATGTGAAAATTTAAAGTTCCTTCCAAATTATCAAGTTTTTAAAATTAAGTTCATATACATTATAATGTATGCTTATTGTACTCTAATTTTAGATGAAAATAATGCATTAATCAGAATATACCATTTACTGTCTTACACATACTTGAAACTTCTTTAAAAAATAGGCATTATGTTTAATATTTTATATAAGTTAACAGTTCCTTTAGTTGTCGTTTTTGTTCGTGCTAACATGTGCACATCACATTACACAATGAAAATCTTAGTTATACTTATAGTTTTCAACACTCAAATATAAACTCCAAATGGTGGAGTGTTTCATATGTAATAATTGTTTTTACTCAGTCCAGAATATAGTTTGTGTAATTGTTATAAATTACTTTGAGCTTTTTATTGGTACAGGAAGCTCCTGAAATTAGATTTTAAAAAATTTTCAGTGTACAAATGAAGTTAGAGGTTTAGGTAACACTTAAAATATTTAAGTAGATATTACAGTATACTACTATGTCTGTGTAAAGTTAGCCTGTATTCCTCTTCTCTGCCCCTTATAAATGGAAGGAAGAGGGGGATGAAACAAGAAAAAAGGCAGTGTAGAGTATATGAAGAAAAGAAGGAAGGAAAAGATGGAATGAATACAATCTTTTTATTTACATATAAAACTGTATTTAGTCTGTCACTACTTCCAGCTTGCAGTGGGTAGTCCCTGATAATTGCACACTGTGCTTTATTCTTATGTGAGAATTAACCTGTACAAGTGCTTTCAGTTTTCCTGTGTATGTAATATTTTGATGAGATACCTGATGTTCTTTATGTTTTGCATTTTGGAATAAAGAGGAAAAAGAAAGGGCTAGAATCTTTAGTTATCTTTATTTCATTAGGTAATGTAATCATATGATTCAAAATTTAAAAGCTTACAAAAACATACAAATAAAAACTCTTACCTCTGTCTCTTATTTACCCAGTTCCCAGTATGACTCTCAAAGAAGATAATTTTTATTACTTTGTTTTCTCTCCTCCCTGATTTTCTTTCTGCATATACAGGTGAACACAAATATTGTTTCCTCTCTATTTTATATACAGGCTCTAGCATGTTATATATACTTATGTATGTGGTGAGACTGGCAACCATATTCCAAATTGTAGCTTTAATTCCAAAACATATTATAGCATTGTTTGATTGTTCATATTAGAAACAACCAAAACTTCTTGTAATATACATATAATAGGACACTATGCAGCATTTTTTAAAAGGATGGAATCTCTATAATGATTATATGGGAAGATAGCTTTAAGATATATTATAGTTGAATATATTATGAACAATGTATTATATGTACATGTATCATAATGAAATCTTACAGAATAGTCACCAACTCTAGAAAGGGACATATAAAATTATGGAGATTTTTTTATGTTCTGGCATAGGCATTTTTTATATCAGTTAAAGTTTTAGTATTACAATAATTATTTCCATTTTGAAAAAAATGTGATTTTTAGATTATTTATAAAATTTTTTTGCTTTTATTATAGGATGACTATACCATAGAAGTAATGTTTTCTTTCAATGAAGAATATCAAAAATATCTAAAACGTAATTCAAATATGCTACAATAATAAGAACAATTTGCTTATCTGAGACCATGTGACAGACAACTATGCTTTAAATATATTATTTCATTTAATCCTTAGGAAATTCATTTTTCTCATTGTTTTATAGTCAGTTAATTTGTGTAAGTGGCATTCAAACCTTTAATGGTATAAAGCTCAACTTCTCCCAAATACTAATTTTTTTTCCTTTTGACAAGTTCATGGCCTATTTAATGTTACATGGAAACTTGAAGATAGGTACATTATTTCTTTTTCAGGGTATGAAATTTGATATTTATCAACCAAATCTAGCTTATTGATTATATAATTTAGATTTCTATATTATCACTTTTTTCCCTATATTTTTCACTTTCTTTCCTACCTGATCTATCATGGATTGAGAAACTGTATTGTGAATGCATCCTTTAGCATTTTTATAAAATGTTCTCTTTTTCTTAAAGTTTAATGCCTTTTAGGCTACAACCTTTGTTTTCTTATAGTTTCTATTTGCCAAGTATATTTTTTGTTTTCCTTTTATTTTAAACTGTCTGTGTCACTTGGTTTTAAGCATGCCACTTGCTTTAAGCAGAGTTGTGATCCTTTGTGATCCTGTATAAAGATATTTTTTGTTTCAGTAGTTGAGTTAAATTTATTTATATGCGTTGATATGATAGATTTATTTGCTCCTTGTTCTGTCACAATTGTTTTGTTATCCTTTCTTTTCTTTATCTCTTTATGTTTTTCACTATGTAGTTGCTTTATATGTATGTAATTTGGGTTTTTCGAGAAGCTGTATTTTGTTCCCCTGTTTATCCTTATCCTTCTAATTTTAATGCTAATATAATTCTAGTAGTCTTTTATTTCTTTGGCCATTCTCATCTATTTAAATTGATTAAAGTAGCATTAAATTTCCTGTTTTTAACCTCATCTCTACCTTTTCCTCTCCTACTGATTTTAGTCAATATTATCTGAATGTTTACCTTTGTACTATTAAAAATACTTATATCTATGCTTCTTTATTTGGTAACTCTAAATTATATTCATTGATTGATACGCTGCTAACATATGTGAAGCAATCTATGAACTTTCTTGACCTCGTATTTATTATTCTTTTACCCTCTCTCAGTTTCAATTTGTTGGTTGTGTCATTTTTCTATTGTCAGGGCATGTAACATTTTCATTTGATTTTCTTAACCTCATTTCTATATTTGTTTTAATCCTTTTCCACAGTAAATATATTCAGTATTCACCACCAGTCTTTTTGTCATGATTTCTTTGATTATCTCTTGTTTGACTGAAGTTCATCCTCTAGTAATTTCCTCAAGAAGGGCCTGGGAACAATATTCTTTGAATTATTTCATATTCAAAACAGTTTGACTATAGCCCATTTTTGAAAGATAGTTTGGCTGGATATAAAGTTGGATCCCATTGTGAAGATCTTGTTGATGGTACTTTTGTTTTACAATATAGTGTGTTGTTGAGAATTTGGGATAAGCCTGAATTATTTTGCCCTTTGTAAGAGATTTGATCATTATGCTGGCTGACCACAGGAATCTTCGTTTTGGAAGGCTGATAGTTTATAATGACTTGGTGCTGGGAATTTTGGATTAATCTTCTCTTAACATACAATATGTTCTTTCAGCTTGTATATTTGTGTCTTCCTTTATTTCAGTGCAGCTTTTCTTCATTTGTATGTTTAAATATTTATTCCATACAATTTTTTTTTTGAGGGGGGTTGTTATTCAGGATGCATTTGTTCACTGTTTTTTTGTCTGGCACATCTGTCATTTTCTTCCTAATCTTACTAATTTCTTTTCTTCTCTTTTCTTCTTTTTTCTTCCTTTGTTTCAGTTTAGTTCACTTTTCTCATTACTAGTATCCTTTATTTTATTTTCCAATATCTGTTCACCACTGTATTCTTTTCTAACTTGTGTTTATCTCTGATTTTTTTTTTCCCCTCTGCTGTTCCTCTTGATTTTGCCACTCTTTTTGTCTTCTTTTTGTCTTGACATCTCTTGCTTTGTGGTCTTCCAAATAGACATAGTTACTTCATTAAGTTTTTTAAATTTGTGGCAAAAATGTTGGCCAGTATTTCCCTCTGCATCTACTCCAAGGTGTTTTTGTGAGAATTTTACATTTTCCTCCTTTTGTCTTGAAGTATTTTTATTTAGATGTAAGTTTCTATCATATTAAACAAGTTAGATTTTCTCGGGCTAGCTGTTTTGTACAAGACTCCTTTTGGGAAGCATGGGTTGCAAGGATAATCACACAGCCTAATTGGTGATTTATGCAACTCCTTGCTGGGTAGAAAGCTTCCTGCAAGTATGACTTGTGTGTCTGATTTTATATGTAGTGTTGTCTTTTCTGCTTCTCTGTACTGAACGAGTGAGATTTGCAGAACTTCAGCCATCTTTCTTGCCCCAGCTCCTGTACCTGGTTTTGCAAATAAAGGATATAGATTTGCACTTCAGGGTATGTATTTCATCTTGAGAATGTATACTTTTGCAGATACTTTCTAAGATCTGTTAACATTGGATTCTTTGGACTTCTCTGACCTACTTCCAACTGCATGTCTTCTGCCTGATCTTGGCTCCTTGGGTAGTGCTTTCATATGTTGTGGAGTCTATGGATTCTATCTGACTCTTAATTTCAATGAAAATAAAAATTTTCATATTTGCTTATTGTGGCTTTTGGATGAATCTCAGGAAGAGAATGAGAAAATGCTGACTTACGTAGGACGATCATATAGGAAGTTCTATTTTACTGTTTAAAAATGGCATCCACCTTCTTTGTGCTGAAAATCTACCTAAAGTTTTAGGTACTACCATATTGGGAGGAGTAAAGATGAAAAGGACGTTTAGATGGTATCTGCTATTTGTCAAATTACAGTAAGTGGCATTAAAGTGTTAAGTATTTACATAAAGGCTAACCCAAGGAAATAAGGGATGAACTGGAGGTTACAGTGAAGCTCTAGCACCAAAGGGTACGAAGGCTGAGTAGAAGATTGACCAGTTGGTCTTGGGCCATAATTCAGCCATGCCATTCATAGTTTGCTTTGTCTTCCTATAAAACTTTAAATCTAAGCCTGGTTCTCATTTCTTAACTTGCTTGCCTCTTGGATATTTTCTATAGGATACTTTGCTTTCCTCTCAATTACTAAATCCTCCAACCTAGTTCAATGCACTTTGCTCATTCTTGTTTGTCAGTGGTTTATCATTCAGCTATTTTATAGGGATCTGAAACATTGTTTAAAAGATACTGTGAATGAGATTTATATGTTTACATTAAAAATCTGATCTTATCTTTTCTGTAAAAAAAAGAAAAATGGAAGAACAAACATTTGATAATCTATTAAACATTTATGAGTATATTTATGACAGTTTGACTTTCCTGAGTGTGAGCTCTTAATATTATGTCTGAAGAAGAATCTAGAAGCATAGATAGCAAAATCTTTCTCAATTCCCTCTGTTTATTGTGATTTCATTTCAACTGTAGTTGTTCAGAGTGGTTGACTACAGAGGATCATATTGTATTAGAGAACTAATATATTTATCCTAATTTAGCTTATGGATGAAACCTTAACTTCTAAGCACAGATGATGTCACTTTTTGTCAGTCCATTTTATTTAGTATTTTTTCCTCATCTCTTTTGGATCTATTTTAGATTTTTGTCTATTTTAGGTCATTTTTTTCCTTTATAGGTTTCAAAATTAAGTACAATTGAAGGAAATGTTGTAGGTCTGGCTTGAAAAGTCCGGCTTCCCATGTGACACAGAAAGTTTCACCACTAATCTAGCATTTTAGTATGGCAGGAGAGGAAGCAGATGTTGTTATCTTAGACATGGAATAGAGTTGTGTTTAGATTTTCAGACTTTCTTATTTGCTAATAATGCACTAAATAATGCATTTAGGAAGAGTTTATGTCAGTTGGTTCATGTTGTAAAAGAATTACCTTGGTGGCTTATTAAAAAATACAGATTTCTGGGTCCTACCTTTAGACACTGTTGGTTTATTGGTTTGGAGTGGGCCCAGGGATTAGCATTTTGACAAGCACTTCTGGTTTTTCTAATACAGGTCTTCCTTGGATTGCCCTTTGAGTAAAATTGCCCTAGAGAACTTCTAAAACTAAAAATTATGTAGAATAAATTAGTTATACTTTGTTGAAAGAAAAAAGCTTATGTATGAAATATTCAGATTGGAACCAATTTATATGACATCTTGATTTTTCTCATGAGGAACTAAATTTCCCCTTCAAAGATTTAATTAAGCATTCTAGATTTCAAGATGTAACTCATGCTTTATTTTTTCCCCATACATTTTCCAGCACCTTGAGTCTAAGAAATGGAACGTTAGCTGTGCTCAGTGTCCAGTTCTAAGCAAATATTATGAAATTTAATACATCACTTGATAGTTAAACATACATTATTGCATGTAAAATTCCATTTCCTTTCTATACTTTGTATGGCATGGATATGAATAATGTTTAGTTAGTTAATTTAAGTATTATTAAATATGTACATCTGAAAAGGTAAATTGCAAGGAAAAAAAACTGTTAGATCAGTAGCCACATCCTCATTTTAAAGTTTTCCTTTTCTTTTTTAAAAAATTTTTTTGTTTATTAATAGATGTTTATTGTTTGAATTTTTTTGAGTGTGTGTAGGCACCACTAGCTTTTGGTGAATATTTTTCCAGATATGTTGCCAAGCATAGCTTTACATGGTCTAGCCTTAGTTGTAAACAAAAAATCATGTTTTGTTATCTAATTTTTTAAGGAATAAAAAAGTCTTTTATTTTTTTCTCTTTCAGTACTGTTGTCCAGACATGATAAATAACTTTTTGGGACTGGCTAAAACAGAATTTTCAAGTACAGCACATAAAAATAAAACTATTGATTCAGAAAAAGGAAAACTGATCATGTTGGTTAATGACTTTTATTATGGAAAACATGAAGGAGATGTGCAGGAAGAACAGAAGACTTACACAACCTTTAAATGCTTCAGTTGCTTGAAAATTCTAAAAAATAATATTAGGTATGTAAACACTTATTTTTATATTTATTTGACCATTATAATGCTACAGATTTAAATGTTATATCTTTATCTTACATTTTTTATGCTATTCTAGATAAGCGATTTTAAAGCTTTTGTCCTTTCTGGTATTTTAAAGTTGACTCCTGGATTCAGTTAGTTTTATTTCTTTAAAATAACTTAAGAAAGGACAGATTATTTCAAATAAAACAAAATTAGCTCCTTTTCCTGATATTATCAGTGATCTAGGAATTTTCGTGAGATACTTTTGATTTTTAGCTGCCTTTGAATTTTATTTTTCTTCGTAAGAACCACTTAGTTATGTTTTGTCCAGTTTGACCTCTTATGTACTAATCTTATTTAATGCTCAAATCTTTCAGTTAATATTTATAGTTTTAGAACATTTACCTTTAGGAAAAGTGATCTTTAGAGAAGTACCAATTCTAGGAAACATGACTGCTTTGATTTTAAATTTTAACCTCTGTGAAAATTAAAGATATAATTTCCAGTGAAATTTTGAAAATTTTCCACACGTATCCTTTAAGTTTTAGGGACCTATACTTTGTAATCTTTGAGTTACATTGCATATTAGTAGCTGTCAGCCTATAAATGAGTTAGTAACAAGAACAAAGTAAAAAACACGAATTGACTGATACTTTTCTTTGGTCGTATAGCTTGACATTTATATTCGGTAAGGTTGTTTTTCATCATTTTATTCTAAAAATTTTCAACATACAGCAAAGTTTTAAAAATTTTATAGTAGACATTTGTATACTTACCATGTTGATTATACTAGCATTTAAATGTACTTACTTTATCATATATCTATTCATCCTTCAAACTGTTTTTTTATGCATTTCAAAGTATGTTGTAGATTTCAGTGTATTTCTTTTAGATGAGGTGTATGTGTGTGTATACAAACATACATATGTATGCCTTTTTATGTTGCCTGAGATAACTCTTATTATTTGTAATAGCGTTCTTAGGCATCTATAGGTTATTTCTAGACCCTAGCATTTCTTCTTGAGTACAAGAAGAAGCATGTAGAAAAACCCTGAAATACACTGTGATACACTCCAAAAACTATTGTTTTGTTTATAATAGTGCTTTATATTTATAGTTTTAAAAATTACCTAACGTATGTTATTTCATGAGTTTTCACATTTCTTTTATCTCCCTTTTTTCAAACTTTAATGACCATAGATAGCTAATGGTCCCAATAGTTTAACAGAAGGGATGTGATACAACACTGAAGCAATATTACAGTAGAGCTCTGTCCCCAGTCCATATTTTTCCCATTTTAGTAAAATACACCAGAAAAATCATATTAATAAATATAGTAAAAAGCATAGAAATATGGCTCACCAGCTTAGATCTTTGTTATACTCAAATATTATGTATATGATATTAGAAATTATTTCAGCAGTAGTTTTTTGGCTTTACCTTTGAGATTAATACATTAATTTTAAACATATGAAAATAAAAAATTTTTTTGTCATTGTTTCAGAATACTAGTTATATATTTCTAGAGTATCTCAAAATGTAGAAATTTTAAGCAAAGAGCATGTGGTAACATTCAGGAATTGAACATCTTTTGAGATACTGATTGTTTAGTAAATGTAACCTTGATGGCAAATACTTTATAACCAAAGGATTTAGACATGTTAAGTAATATTTTCCATTGTTGGTAAGAACTAGGAGGGTAAGTTGATGTTTGTAGAGAATGGTAAGAAAGTGGTAACTAACTTTCTACTCGCTGTCCTGTCAACATATTGTAGTACGGTTTTTTTTTTCCTATATGGAGTGTCACCTGAAACAGGTTTATTTTGTTCTGTGAATATCCTTGCAAGATGCTTGCTTTTTTTTTGTTTCCCTCATTTCCATCTGTTGGTTTAAGTAGTATGAACTCCTAATGGGGGCTCATATAATAACTGAGAGAAAACTTGCTAGTTAAGAGATTATTTTATATAGATACACTTTAATTGCTGAAAGTTGTGAGCTGAAAGTTTAATGGCTCGTGACATTTTCTCTACATGTAAATGTTTAGCCAAGACTATGATTTAGTGTAGGTGTTTGTAGAGCAGATGTTGAAACCAAAGGAAGACTAAAAGATATTTCAAAGTGCACCATAACCTGTACTAAGGAGTAGTATTGTGGAGGTGTGAAAAAGAAAGAAATGCTATAACCTTTATGATGATTGCTATCCACATTGATGACATCATCACGTAGTTTCAACATTATTTCCTGTAGGAACTCAAAGTGAATAATTGTTAATAGTTGACCCAGTCTAAAAATTGTTACTTTGATTGAATAACTTTACTTTCAAATTCAGCAAAAAGCTTCAGTAAGCTCTTTTAAATAGGTATACCATTTTTATTGCACTCTCTGCTATTGAAGGTCATAGTTCCTGCTCATAAGAAGCCTTTTAGGGAAGCTGAAATAGCAGAATTTAAAACTGAAAAATGGGCATTGCCTACAAAGGGCACAGTCTGCAAGTTAAAATGAGCAGTCTATGCTAACAGTAAACCAGTATCATTAAATAAAACAAAAGGTTCTTGTAATTGTAGGCATTAAAATTGCTATTACATGCATTTAGAAACCAAGACACAAGTAAAAATACCAGTAATTTGTCTTTTAAGCAGCTGGAATCTATTGTATATCTTCACAGCCTTAAAAGATTTCTCTCATGACTCTGTAGTTGCTTTTGGTGGTAGTTTTCTTCCTTTCAGTATTTTATTTAAAAATATAAGTAGTATTTCTTGTATGGAAAATAAACTTGTTTTATCTTAAAATTTTTAATAATCTCAAATGATTGAGAACAAATTAGTGATATTTCAGATTAATGGTATTAATGAATTATTTTAAAACAAAGATAAAAAGATGTTTACTTAGCTACTTAATGAAAGTGTTTATTTAAAGTGCACACTTTTCCAGAGGACTTTAAGGCTTTTTGAGATTTTATTTTAGTAATGTATCTGTAATTTTAAGATTTAGATGCAAGTATTTATTTGTGAGATTTTGTTTTTAAATCTGAATTTTTGCACCTGTTGACAATCATTTATAGGTTTATGAACCACATGAAACACCATTTGGAACTTGAGAAGCAGAGCAGTGAAAGCTGGGAAAACCACACCACCTGCCAGCACTGCTACCGTCAGTTTCCCACACCATTTCAACTGCAGTGTCACATTGAAAGTACACACACCCCCCATGAATTTTCTAGTAAGTTACAGTTCGTTTAAAAATTGAATATTGTTGATTTTAACAGTATAAACTCTGAAAAGCTGAACAAGCACATTAGAAAAATAAGAAAGAGACTTTGAAATTTGGGAGTAGAATTGAAGAAGTTAAGTTTTAACTTACATAAACTTTAAAATAAAAATTACTAAAATTAAAGTCCCTCTTGTAAATAATTCATTAGAGTAAATAACCTGTGCGTTATATGTGGGGGACTAAATTAGAAGCCTCAGATGACATAGTTTTCAAATATGAAGTCAATGCCCTTCATTTGAACTTGAAAAAGAAAAGTAAATCCAGTGGTAGTTAAAATCACAGATTTTGAAGCAAGACAGCTTAGGTTCAAATCCCAGCTCTGCCTCTTAATATATGTTCCTCATGTGATCTCAGGCAAGTTCCTTAGTATTTGAATAATAGAGATAGTAGAAATACCTACTTCATAATGTTGTTATAGAAATTAAGTGAGTTAATGTAAGTAAAGTGTTTAGAACTGTGCTTGACACACAGTTAATCACTATGTAACTGTTCACCACCACTGCCACTACCAGTACTACTGTTATTATTATTGTTGATATAGATATATACAATATTTATATATATATATAATCTTTTGTTTGCGTTGAGAGGATACTTTTTTAAAAATTGAGGAGTAATTGATATAATTTTTAGTTTCGAGTGTACAACATAATCATTCGATACTTGTGTGTGTGTGTATATATATACATACTAAAATGGTGTAATGTCTTTTTCCTCCCACTTTTAGCCATTTGCAAAATATGTGAATTATCATTTGAAACAGAGCATATTCTTTTACAACATATGAAGGACAATCATAAACCTGGTGAAATGCCGTATATTTGCCAGGTATACACATATTTTATTATATACATGGTATTTGTTTGTTATCTGTTGTTTTGGTTACAAGATGTAAAACTATTAGGCCAAGCGTCAGCAAATTTTTTCTGTAAAGGACAAGATAGTAAATATTCAGGCTTTTAGGGTCATAGGTCTCTGTTGCAACTAATTAATTTTGCCATTGTAGCACGAAGACAGCCATAGACAGTAAGTAAATGAATGGGTGTGACTGTGTTTCAATAAAACTTTGAATCAAATTTCAACTGAAATTTGAATTTCATATAATTTTCAATTGTCAGGATATATATTGTTTTATTTTTCTAACCATTTAGATTAATTTAATGAAATTACAATTTCTCATAAATAATTTATTAGTAGAAAGTCCCTTGGCACAACTCATGTATTGTACGTGGGGCCAGCAGAGAGTTGAAACTGACCCACAGGATGTTGTTTGACCACTCCTGTACTAGATAAAGAAAAACCCTGTGGCAGAAAGGCAAACATGGACTTACCTTGCTATGTATGGAAGAATGTAGGCATCCAAGAAAAATATGAAATACTTTTATTTCAGAGAACCCTACCAAATGTTTTGGGACTAGCATTTTTCCAAATTTGGAGGAATAGTTTGAAAATAAGATAAAAATAGTCACTGCCATAGCCTGGAGGCCATATATAATCTAAAGGAAGATGCCATTTTATATAGCAGGAAGAACTTTATAGGACAAGAGGTGTCAGAACTCGAAATTTCAAGTCAAGATTGGGAGTAACAAAAATATCTGATAAAAAGAAGGGAATCTAGTTATATTTTGGGAAGTATCCCTAAACTTTGAACTCTTCTGTCTCAAAGATGATCTTTTGGCGCTTGCATTACTGGGATTCTTGGTTATGTAGGCATCATTATGAATTAATAATAGTACATCATATTCTTCTAAACAAGTGACCTGTCATTGTTACTTTGTGATTGGATATCATTATAAATTTTCAAGTTAAACTAAATCTTCTTTTTTTGATAGGTTTGCAATTATAGGTCATCATCGTTTTCTGATGTAGAAACTCATTTTAGAACATCCCATGAAAACACTAAGAACTTGCTATGTCCATTTTGCCTCAAAGTTATTAAAATTGCAACACCCTATATGCATCATTATATGAAGCATCAGGTGAGATTTATAAGTTCTTATTTGTTCATGTTGTTTTAAAGAAAAGATAGATTATGACTTAGAACAATGGTTAGGTTTGTTCTGCAAGGGAAGCATTGTTGTTCCAAATGATGTGTTTGATTTGTAGTTTATGCCAAATTATTTGTTAAACTTCCACTTCTTTTTCTTGCTTCCTTTTTAGTGATGATATGGCTCATACATGAAAATTCTGAAAGATAGCTAGAAATAGGAAACTTTGATTGAAGGGAAAAAGAGAAGATGAGTGGAAGAATAGCTGAAGGATTGGATATTTCAGAGTCTGAGTGGGCATGGGGATGATTTTGAAGGTTATTATCAGGAGCAGGGGAAAAGATGAGTTTCAACTGATAAAGAAGAAATTGAGAACTCATAATCTTGTTTTCCTCTTCCTCTTCAAACTTTACTTCTTCTTTTAGCCCCCTTATTGTATGAAGACATGTTGGCATCATTTACCAGGAGTGGTCTCATAGCTGCCAGTGATGGAGGAAGCAGTAATGACACTTATGTATTTCTTGATATATGAACTCTGCCAAAGAACTATATTTAGATCATAGCTTGATTTGTGGATGACGTCTGGCAGTTCTGCTGTGTAATTTTTGGGACCCAGTATTAGTGCTTATACACTTCTTTCTCATTCTGTTGTTACATTTACTGGTTCTTTTCCTGAAGCAATTAAATCGTCCTTTGTTTGGGCTGAACACTTTTATGCAATACTGATCCTGTTCTTAAGTGGTCAAAAGAGCAACAGCAGTGCCTTTGCCAAAACCAGAAGACGATGGATTTACTGAATCTGATCATGTAATCAAGTTTTGCCGCCTCACTAATCAGCTCATTACCTTTTCTTATTATTGATTAAATTGGCATGTCAGTTTACTCAGCATTGGTGCTTGCTTTGCTTTCCATTCTAGTCATTAGATAATCATGAAATGGACTTGTGTTTTTTAATTGGGAAAGATCATAAAAGTAGAATTTCCAAATGAATCGGGATCACCTATGTTGTGACTAGGATGCCACCCATCGTTGAGAAGTTCTGGCAAGACCTTTCTATTCTAGGTTTCTCCAGCAATGTTCTGTCAGGTGTTAATGATAAAAGAATTTGGTAAATTCCTAGGTTTACAAAATTAAACAGTTTCATTTCTTTTTTAAAACAAGAATCCTCAGAGATTTTAATATGCTAATGAATATTATAAATCTCTATGCAAGGGATAAAGTATGTATTTTTCCCAAACTTACTTGGCCATTGAACCCTTTATTTGCACAATATCTATTAACATTTATGGAACAGAGTTTAAGAAACACTGTTCCTGGTACTCTATATTTCATCTTTGACCTTTAATTTTGAAAGGGAGAATGAAGTATAAAACAGTAGTTCTGTTTCATTATGGGGCTTTTAACATCAGTTTTCCCATATGCTTTACTAAGCTCCAGAGTGAAATGTGGATGTGGAAAGAATGAAAGAAATATGTGGGCCCACTATGTGGGCCATGTGATTTATAATCAGTTTTTATACCTGAGTTTTATGTCTTCACTTCCTATGGGTGTCCAGTTGTTTTTTGTTTGTTTGTCTGTTTTTCTGGAGTACCTACTAGGTAGACAACCAGTAATTAAGAGAGGAGACTCCATTAATAAGAACAACCATTAGTCATCCTTCAAGGTATTTACAATTTGTATGATTATTTACAAAAGGCTGGAAAACCATAGCTGAGCAAAAACTTATAATTGAGATCACATTATTGGTGCAGTATTAGATAATAAGAATTGCTGACTCTATGGCTCATTTTATTGTCTTAAAAGACTTTGGTTGTAACGTTTCTTTAAGAGGATATATTGTTAAGTCTTGGGTGATTTTAGTGCTAACAATCCAGTTTATATCACTCTTCAGAAATAATGAAAGTGATTGTGGATGTGTTAAACATGTTCATTACATCTTTAATAAAAACAGTAAGCAGTCAACATATGCAGTCATTTACTTTATGACAGTAGCAGGTGCTTTACATGCAATATCTTGTTTAATCCTCACAATCACCCTTATAGACAGGAAACAACGTTTTGGAGTAAGTAAGTTGCTCAGTATCATATTGCCTAATAAAATGCAGAGTTAAAAATTTGAATTCTGAGCCCAAGATTTTATTGTTTTACCACAGAGTCAGATTTCACATTGGTATTGGGTCTAGGGTCAGAAATTGTAGTCAGAATTCTAGTCAGAATTACCCTTATATCCCTCATATCTCCCAAACAGTGTAGTATGCTTATTAAAAAAGTTCAACATGTAATTACTTCTCTACCCTTCAAATAGATCACTATTTCTTTGGTTGAACATCATGTTATTAAAAAATGTACTATCTCTTTATCACCTTTTGCACACTGAAATGCATACATAAACAAGAGAGATGTGCCAGAGTTGTATCCAGCTAAGAATAGTAGATTAATGTATTCTTCTGTCTCAGGATTTTGGCCAGATGTTCACTGAATGGAGTGGCAGACATTTTGAGCTTGTTAAATTGTACCTGCTGCTCTTACGTACTGTCAGTCTCTTGCTTTCTGTCTCACTATCCATTTATTTAACAAATATTTATTAAGTGCCTTACTAGGTGCCAGGGACTCTTTTAGGTACTATATTGCAGTGAACAATACAAAATTTGTGTCCTGTGAAATTTGGATTATAGTGGAGAAAAAAGAATAAATACATGTGTGCTTATGTTTGAATGTATCCTGTGATCTTACTGTGGCTGGTGATAAGTACTGTGGAAGGAAAATGTGGAGGATGAGGACTGCTAAGGATTGGGGAGATGGTGGGAGTGGAGAAATGGTTGCTGTTTTGTATATATAGTGGTCAAAAAGGGCCTCTTTGAAGGAAATAAAGGGGTAATCCATGTGGAAATCTAGAAGAGGTAACGTTATATAGGGAGTGAAGTGAATGTATACCTGGGCATTCAAAGAATGGGAGCAGAGTAAAGTATAAAGAGGAAAAGTAGTAGGACATAAGGTTGTAGCAATAGAATGCAGGCCAATTCATAGAGAGCCTTGTAAACCAGATTCAGGACTTTGGAAAACCATCAACATTTTTTTTGGTGGGTGGAAGATAATTAGTGTTATTTTTAAATTTTATTTTATTTAATAGAGGTACTGGGGATTGAACTCAGGACCTCATGCAGGCTAAGCATGTGCTCTACCACTAAGCTGTAGCATCCTCCGCATCAGCATTTTAAGCATGTGAAAGATCACTGGCAGCTATGGGGAGAATAGGCCATAGGGAGGAAAGAACATGACAGGGAGAAGATAGGAGGTTATAGTCAAGGTGAGTGGCTTGGACACGTATGGTAGCAGTCGTTGGAGGTAATAAGTGAATATATCATGACAGTTTTTGAAGGTAGAGCTGCCAGGTTTCATTAATGGTTTCAATACGGGATATGAGAGAGAAGTTTTTTTCGAAGCAGTTACAAGAATAGAATTTTCATATACTGTCATATGGTGAAGACTGGGGAAGGAACATATTTTGGGGGGGGGCAGGGAGGTAGGGAAGAAATGCAAAATTCAGTTTTGCCTATATTGGTTTGAGATGAGTATTAGACATCAAGTAGTAATGTCAACTGGGCAGTTAGATAAATGATATTTAAAGCCATGAAATGATGCAGTAACTAGGGAGCGATTGTGGATAGAAGATTTCTAGGTACTGGATTTTGGAGAACTTCTTTTTGTCCTGTTGACTTAGTATCTGTTTCTTGCCCAATGTTTCACTTTTTTTTATTCTTCTTTGAGCACATATAAGTGAATTTGTTTGAGTTGCCTGTACCTCCCATATAATCCATTGCATCCCACTTCTAAAAATACTCTTAAGGTGCACCTAGAATAGTGGTACAAACATATTAATTTATATATTGCTTTGAATTTTGTAAAGAACTTTTATTTATGAAATGCCTGCTGTGAGCCAGTAACTGTGCTTAGTACTACCCAGTGTATTACCTATTTGAATTTTATAAATGATTGGTTGTATTTTAATGGAAATAGTGATGTATCTGGCAGATCTCAGCTTTAGAGAAAACATTCTTTTGTATTTATATGTTGTTTCACTTTATATATATATATGCATATACATACATAATTTTCAAATTAATGAGAGCACATAGGTAAAGATTGTAGTTGATACTGTATAGTAGAAAGAACGTTGGATCAGGAGGCTGGCAGTGTCAGTAAATAGCTATGGGAAAGTGATTTAGATTTTTCTTGGGTCCTATTTCCTATCTGTGGAATAACAGGATTAGGTTTGAGAAGGGACTTAGTCAAAGGGTCTCAACCAGTTAGTAGATTGGGAGTAGTTATTCTGATTTATGCCTCCATATTCACACTGTTCAGTGTTCAGTGTTGTAGCCACTAGCCATATGTAGCTGTTTAAACTTAAATTAATTAAAATTAAATAAAATTTAAAATTTGGTTACTCAGTTACACCTGACATATTTCAGGTGCTCAATAGCCACATCTGTCTAGTGGCTGTCATATTGGACAGTGCAGCTCTAAAATGTCTTCAGTATTGCAGAAAGTTTTATTAGATAGCACTGCTTTATACAACCATTGCTATAACAAACTTCTTTGAAATGTCTGATTAGATATTTGAATTTACTTTTCCAACTTGTTAACCAACAAGAAATAGCAAAAAATAGAAAGAATTTACTTTTTTCTAGGAAAAAAATATAGTACGGCTCATTTTCACAGTATCATAAGTCTAAATATTTTTAAATTATAATTAAAAGAGCTTTCATACCAGTGTTGAGAGAACTTTCATTAGAATCTATTGATACAATTTCATGTTCATTTTCTGTATAGTAACACATTTTTGAAACCTAAATACTAATGCAAAGAGTGTACTAATGCAAAGAGTGTTTTAAAACATAAAATAATATTTTGCTATTATTTATGCTAGGAGATGTAAAATACTAGTTTTAAAATTATTTAGTATCATTATAATGAAACCAGAGCAGTTTTGGGACACAGGATTTGTGGTTGTAGAAATTATTTTTCTTCCCTTTTTCTTTTTCCTAAACAGAAAAAAGGAATACATCGTTGTACAAAATGCAGGCTGCAATTTTTGACATGCAAAGAGAAAATGGATCACAAGACTCAGCACCATCGGACATTTATAAAACCTAAACAACTAGAAGGATTGCCTCCTGGAACAAAAGTAAGTTCACATATGTCGTATTTTAACATTTTGTATGATAATAAAAATAACTCCTGCCTGGTTTTATCTATTGAATATAATACTTTAAAAAGTGGTTTCATATTTTAAGTTTTTAATTTAAGATTTTATTTCTTATGTTTAGGAAAATGTCTTCTAACCATTGTTTTTTGGTCAATAGTGTATGCTATGCTAGAGTGGTATTCATTTGTAAAAAGTGTAACAAGGTTAACTGTTCCTGGGTCGGTGGGTTGTGTTAACATTACCTGGGCTATTCTTGAGCTATTCCAGTTGGCACTGAATATGTCAGTTTTATCTGCTAAACTATAAGATGCTTGAGATCAGGAATTGTGTTTTAGTTATCTTTGTGTCCTCAGCATCTGGTATATACAGAACCTTGAATGCCGTAGGTTCTCAGGTGTTTACTGAAGTGGTTATTACTGAATCTCCTCTAAGAGAAGCAAGTTCTGCTGCTGGATAGCATTATGCTTTAAGTGAGCCAACACATGTCTGACTGCATACTGATGACTGTAACTTCCTTTTCCCTTTTTGCCTTATATACCTCTGTTTTCTCTGACTTCTTTATATACAGTCAGCTCTTGAATATTTGCTCCAGTGGAGGGAAACAGAGGCATGGATAATCCAAAGTGAAATAATCCCCAAAGCATTTATATTTGGCTTTGGGTACTTACCTTTGAATGTGGGTATGTCTGTTATTTGAATTTAACTAAAACAATATAAAGCCATGCTCTGAAGACCTAGAGCAAGAGAAGCTATCCAGCATCCTTCCCTACAATCCATTCATTCCATGCTGGGACTAGACATGCACAACACTAATGTAAGCAGTGCAGTCCTCTCTCCTTTCCCTTAATAATGATGATGATGATAATAATAATGATACTAAATGTTTTTATAGCACCTTAGAATTAGGCTTTTGGTGTGCTTTTTCATACATTCTATTATTTAATCCATATAGTAATCCACAGAAGTAGACAAGGCAGATATTGTCCCTTATTCTAGATAAAGAATCTCTAGATAAAAAGGATAAATTACTTATTTAAGGTCACATGGCTAGGAAGGAGTAGTATTAGATTTAATCTCAGGCTTTTTGATTCCCAGTCCAGTGCTTTTACCATGATACCAAGCCACATGTTTTTCATTATACTTCCTCATAGACTGTTCCCCAAATACATAGGAGTATAGTCAAATGATCAATGAGACTGTTGGTAGGCAGTTGTGTTTTCCATTGTCAACCAGCAAATATAATTTCTGAATAGTAAAAAATAAGCCTTATATTAGCTCCCTTTAGGGAAATTCTAAATATTATTAAACTCTCCGTGCAGTATAATGAATTGATATAACCCCTCCCATAACTTTTGTAAATGTACATCCTGCCTAATGAGCCCCTGGAAAGAGGAAATCATATTTATTGTAGATCTGTTTGTTTTATAGTTGTCAAAAGGTAATCCAGGCCTTTCTAAGGTTATTTTTAGGCTTTGAGATTGCAATTTTGATCTCTATGTTTGTAAATTTAAAAAGTTGTATCAGAGCATAGAAATAGCTATGGAATGTGCTCTTTTAATATTTAATGTGCTCATATAACTTGCTTTAACACCTAATTATCCATTAATAACTGTTAACGTAAAACTGATATCAAATACAAAAATGTAATACTATGAGTGAATAAATATCAAGTTTAATTTCATTTAATTGGTATGAACATTTAGAATAAATGGAAGAATTAATCCAGTTGTAGTTTATACTTGCCCTTGGTTTAACTCTTTGTTATGTACTAATATTTTAACACAAATGCAGTGATTAATTTTCTAAAGCAAATATTATCTTAATTTTTGTAGGTTACTATTCGAGCTTCAGTTGGACCCCTTCAATCAGGATCTTCAACTACACCTTCCATTAGTGCAAGCACTTCTACCCTTCAGCTCTCACCTCCAAGGACTAAAAATATAACTGCTAAAAGTCCCACAAGATCTATCACAAGTAAACCTAATACAGCTAAACCCATTGCAAGTAAACCTAATGCAAGTAAGCCTAATGGAAGTAAATCTAAATACAAATCAAAAATTTCTAATATGCAAAGGAAACAAAGCACATTGGCTAGTAGCAATAAAAAAAGTAAAGTCAATACAGCATTGAGGAACTTAAGGTAATCTTTTATTACTGATACACAATACTAGTTTAATTTTAAGTATGAAGACTTTATTTAATATAAATTTACCCCATTATACAACTCTCTTGTACATTTATATACTGTCACTTAAAGGTCAGGCAAATAATAAAAAAGTATTTTTTACAACTGTTGAACAGTACTTAAATTACTGTTTTTTCTATCTAGTATTCATTGGTATTTCTATAATATCCACTGGCATTATATGTTGTCGCTTATATCTTGTGATATTTGAATTAACTTAATCTCCTTATTCTGGTATGAAACGTTAGCTAATTTTAGATTGTTTATACTTCTAGCTCTTGTTCCATAGGAGATTTTTCAAATAATAAGTCTTTGTTTAAAGATATTATTTTAAACACCTTGGCTTTAATTAACAGAACATAAGATGACTCTTCCTAATTATTTTTGTTTTAAAATATGTTTTTATCATTTTCTTTGTATTTCCATAAGGTATCGTCGGGGAGTTCACAAGTGCATTGAGTGTTGTTCTGAAATAAAAGATTTTGCAAACCACTTTCCTACATATGTCCATTGTAGTTTTTGCAGATACAACACTAGCTGTAGCAAAGCCTATGTGAATCATATGATGAGGTAAGATGAGTTAAACATCTATAATTACCGATTAAAATTACAGTTCAGCAAGTCTGGTTTTGAAAACAGTTACCCTAATAGAAGCTAGTTTTTTTTTTTTTTTCCTTTTCAGGAGCATTAGAGAACTTCTAGGTTGATGCCTGGTACTATTTTTCAGCATAGTTATTCATAAGGTTATTAGAATTCAAATTATAAGAACAGTTAGGCTAATGAAATTAGGATAGGTTTGTTAGGGAAAATAGTTTTTCTATGGGAATTTTTTTTTTCCTGTAGAACTTTTGAAGTGGTTACTTACAAAGACAAAAACTTAAATGTTTTAAATATATTTATGAAATAAATACATGTCATCTCATGAGTGTTATTCTCTTCAAAGCAGTCACTTTGAGAGATTCCAGAATTTTCAGTGATATTAGGAACTTTATTGGGTCTGTTTATCTTTCCCTCTCTTTTTCTCTGTAATCGTTCTGCCTATCTGTCCATCAAGTCATCTATCCTTGCAGTCATTCAGTGAAATGAGAGACTGTTTCAGTAATGATGCCACTGTTGGATTTCTTTTTCATTAATTCATTCAACATAGACTATGTGAGTACCTAGTATTTTACTCTATGTAGAGAAAGCCTTTACAGCCTCCGTATTTTCATTTGTATCTCATTTGTAGGGGCATACTTCAAAATGGATTTTTATTTGTTTAAAAATAGTATCTTATAGTAACCTATAATGAAAAAATATGAAAATGAATATATATATGTATATGTATGACTGAAGCATTATGCTGTACACCAGAAACTGATACAACATTGTAAACTGACTATACTTCAATAAAAAAATGCAAACAAAATAGTTGAAAATTGTTCAGATATAAGACAGTAAGTTGATTTTTTGAAGTGAGGTTTCAGCTTTGCAAAAGTTAGTATTAAAGTATAACTAATAAAAGTGATTTTCTTATAGATCATGACATCACATCTATGTTACTTTCTGGTCATTATCACCTGCTCCTTTCAGGGATTCTCCCACCTTTCTTGATGGCTTCAGCACCTCTCTCACAGTTTTTTAACTCCCTTGATGACTGGCCTGACCTCTTGGTACCTTTACTTCTTTAGTGACAGTGCATTACATCAACCTTTAAGTTACTGTACCCCCTTTATTACCACAGTACCATTTTAATCTTATCATATATACTGTTCATTTCTTTTGAATTCTCAATACCCCAGGACTTTCAGGACTTTGATTCCTTTTTCCAGTCCAGCAGCAGCCATATAACTTGATAGTCATCCTCACCTTCAGGACCATCTGTTTTGGGTGCTGCTTTGTTTTTGTTCTAGAATTCTTTATACCTTTAGTCATGCTCACCTGGCATAAAGGCCAAAGACTTGAACAGCTGCCTTTTCTGACCTTTGTGCTCAATTCTAGACTAGCAAACAGTACTTGATTCACTCAACTCTGACTCACAGTTTTTTTCTTTTTGGAGGTTTTTTTTTTTTTAATTGAAGTATAGTTGATTTACAGTGTTGTGTTAGTTTCATGTGTACAGCAAAGTGATTCAGTTATACATATATGTGTGGGTATATATATATATACATATATATATATATATATATATATACACACACCCACACATACACTTTCCCATATTCATATTCTTTTCCATTACAGAATATTAGAAGATACTGAGTATAGTTCTCTGTGCTGTACAGTAGGTCCTTGTTTTTCATCTGTTTTATATATAGTAGTGTGTATCTGCTAATCCCAAACTCCTAATTTAGCCCTCCTCCCTCCTTTCCACTTTGGTAACCATAGGTTTATTTTCGGTCCTTGAGTCTGTTTCTGTTTTGTAAATAAGCTTATTTGTATCAATCTTTTAGATTCCATACATAAGTGATACCGTTTGATATTTGTCTTTCTCTGTCTGACTGACTTCACCTAGTGTGATCGTCTCTGGGTCTGTCCATGTTGCTACAAATGGCATTATTTCATTCTTTTTTATGACTCAGTAATATTCCATTGTGTATGTATATAGCACATCTTCTTTAGGACACTTAGGTTGCTTCCATGTCTTGGCTGTTGTAAACAGTGCTGCTATGAACATTGGGGTGCATATATATTTTCAAATCAGAGGTTTTGTCTTTTTGGATATATGCCCAGGAGTGGGATTGCTGGATCATATGGTAGGTCTGTTTTTAGTTTTTTTAGGAACCTTCATACTGTTCTCTATAGTGGCTGCAACAAATGACATTCCCACCAACAGCATAGGAAGGTTACCTTTTCTCCACACTCTTTTCGGCATTTATTATTTGTAGAATTTTTGATGGTGGCCATTCTCACTGGTGTAAGGTGATACCTCACTGTAGTTTTGATTTGCATTTGTCTAATAATTAGTGATGTTGAGCATCTTTTCATGTGCCTATTGGCCATCTGTATTTGACCCATGATCTTTAACTTTGAGTCCTAACTTTTTATTTTTAAATACTTTATTTTTACCTATAGTACCTAATTAAACCATTTTTTAGTACTATAAAGATTTTATTTTAGCTTCTCTTAGTTGTTAACCTGGCCTACTAATTACTCAGTTGGAGGTCATCCTTTTAATTAATCTTTTCAACCTCAGAGTTTTTCGTGTTACCTTCATCTAGACATTGATCTCAGAAATCAAACATGTTCCACTTCTGTAAAGTTAACCCTGCCACTTACCTCTTCTAGTTCTTCCACAACCTTATTCAGTTAACTTGCAACTTCATCTCTTCTACCAGTTTCTTCTGCTTACATTTTCAGGTTTTGTTTTTTTTTTAAAGATGAGGGAGATTTGTCCTTACCACCTACTTTCCTTACTTCTTTTCTTCTTCTTACCATGAATATTTTTAAAAAATGTTTGTTACTAGCTTATCTGTGATTCATTTTTTTACCTTTTAATTTGAGTGTCATCCTCACCTACCAACTAGCCCTGCCCCTTTTAAGATTTTCTGTCATGTTCTTATCACAACATTTATTCAACTTTTTTTCACTCTTAGTACTCCATGACTTCTTTCAAGTATTCGACATTGTTGTCACTCACTTTTGAAACTATCCTCTTCGGCTTGTGTTAAACTGTTAGCACTGTTGTTTTTTCTTCCTTTTTGGCTACTCCTATCTCATTTTAAAATTTGTTTCCTTCAACTCTTCTTCTCTCTTTACATTTTCTTTCTCTGTGACCACTGTCACTTTGCCTTTCAACTTTAAATCTTTCAGTTTCAATCCTTAGTTTTCCTGAGATCTAACTCTATCTTTCTAATTATTTAATAGATATTTTTACCTTTGACTCACTGGCATCTAAAAAGAACATAAACAAACCGAACATTATCTTTATAGAATTCACATAACTACCATCCAAATACTCTTTCAAGGCATCATTTGTGTGAATGTGGAACACTAGCTGAAAAAATACGTTGTCCCAAGTTTTTTAAGCTTGTGAAGTTCTCTTTATGTGCCAGTGTGCTTCATGGCTTCCTGAGACAGCACCTTCCGCATTCTGCCACTCTGCCTCCCAGCTGCAGTGGACTACACCTGTAATCCATTTCCTCTAACAGGCCCCCAGCATCCTTTCTCCTTGAGTATACTTCAGTGTGGAAAATCCCTTATTCTATGACAGATACATGGCTGCCCAAATACAGCTTTACTTATGCCCTTAATTTATAGGGGATCAAATTTTAAAATATTTTCTTTTCCTAAACCAAAAGTCATTTCACCCTTCCCTCTCCCATTTATCATAGGTTTCTCACCTGTCCAATAGAACCTCTAAATCCCATTCTATTCCAGAACATTTCCAGTTAGCCCAACTCCCTTCTACCCTTTTCCCAGTTCCCAGTGAGCCCCAACCCTGCGCTTCATTGTCATCACACACATTGTTAGTCTTTGTTAGATTCATATGGAACTGAAAGTTTCCATTGCCAATCCTGGAGTTTGGTAAATCCCTTTTCCCTTTTTCTCTGCTTCATTCCTTGAATTAAGTATCTCCCACTGAAAGGCCTATCACTGTCTCTGCCCAGTGTGGATCCTTGTGATAGGTTTGAGTTTTGTATGAACAGAAACCTCATTTTCTCCAGAGGATAGTGCTTTTAATCCCTATCATATTCCACCTCTGTACTCGCAACTGATCTTTTTCCCTCCAGTCTCATATTTGCCCCAATCCATTTTAGGAAAACTCTCATCCCCATAAATTGATTGCTCTTCCCCAGAATAAGCTTTCTCCCATACTCATTTTTGACAGTGGCTTTTCATGATTCTTTTTGGTCCCTGGAATGCACCATTCTTCCTTTCAGTTTACCTTACTCACAGGGATCATTTCTTACTTTGAGTTGTGTGCCATTCATCTAGTCTGTTGTTTATTATATTTGTTTATATCTGTATTATCTCCTTGAGAAAGAGGGGTTCTTTATACTCACCATGTCACCTAGCACATTACAAACAGCAAGTGGTAGTCAATTATTATAATTATAGAATGCTCCAAATAAAATCCCAAAAGGGGATATTAAAAAAACCATGATGCCGTAGGAACATTTGTGGAATAAGACTCTTTACAGAGAAGGGCATCATTAAAGATATAAATTTTAAGTGAATTTTTTAAAGGTGGCATTATTTGGGTTTGGTTTAAATTATTGCACCTTATTTGCTTACAGCTTTTAGGTAGCAATAGAAATCACCTGGAAAAAAATGCAAACAAATCTCTGTGTAATATTGCTATTATTCTTCAGCATTATGTATAAAAAAGCTTTTCTCTACATGTAATAGAATTAAGTTAACAGATATAAGTACTAAATATCTCTTTTTCTAGCGGAGTTTACTATTTGCTAAGAAGTACGGTAAACTGGTGGTGAAGAATCAGACAAATCTGGATTTGAATCCAGGCTTCCTCATTTATTTATTACCTGTGTGACTTTGGGCAACTTCTTAACTGACTCCTCGTTTCCTTTTCTTGAAGAGAAAGTTATTGTGGTTATTAGAGAAAATGTACTTAAAGTGCTTGATAAAATGATTTGCACCTAGGAGGTATTCAAGTAATTACAGCTTTTTAAAAAAAATTATCCTAAGAAGGTTATTTAAGAAACTTTTAATCTGAAATTCCAAAAAGAACTCTAGTGAGATCTCATTTTGTTTAAAAAAGCTTTTTTTTTTTAATATCTTAGATTTGGTGCTGTGACTGCTGATCCCAAATCATGTTTTCTTTTCTTTTTTTTAAGTAATTATAGCTCTTGTTTCTAAGTTGTCATTATTAAATGTTGTAGATAAAGTCCTTGGCTTTAATTTTCACAAGTTAGTTGGAGAGATATATTTACCTAACTTAATGTGATAAACAAATGACTGTTAGAGCACAGAGAAGGTAAGGATGATTCTTTAAACAACAAATAAGGGAAAGTGACATATAAATGACATTTCACTTAGGCTTTGAAGGATGATTTAAAATTTCTCCAAGAGAAAAGAAAGCTGGTGTAACAGTTTGTTCCTATACAATGGATAAGACAAATTACTGAATTAATTTTTATAAGATATGCTAAAAATAGTTCATTATGTGTTTTATACAGATTTATTGGCACTAAATAAGAGTCATTAGAAGAACAGTTAGATTATTATGGTAGCATCATAAATGGTCTCTTCTCTACACCCCACCCCTGGCCCCTTTTTCATTTCTTCCTTCCTTCTGTTACTGATAACTGGTCAGGTCATTTTTTGGCCTAAAATCCTTCAGCTCTTCCTAACATTAATATGATGAAGTTCAAATTTTGTGGAGAATATAAGCCCTTTTAATATCTAATTTCTAACTACTTTTCCTGTGCCTTCAACTCTTATTTTCTTGAAAATCCTTCCATATCTTGCTCTTTGCTTTGTCTGGAGTGAGGCAGCATAGGGACCCTCTTCACTGAAATGTGCTACTGACTGTTACCTAGCCTTTCCACTTACCTGCAGCTTTCCTTCATGCAACCACAAACCTTTGTACGTGTCACTGTTGATGTTTATCTTATGGTAATTATTTATGAATATGTATTCACTTGTTTAACAGATACTTGTTAGGCCTTCATCCTGTGCCAGCTGCCTGTTGACTACCTTCACTGCCGAACACTGGATGGTGAACTCTGAGGCAGACAACTTTCCTTTATTATTGTATATCATCAACCTCTAGTCAGTATAAATCTTTTTTATAGGTAGCAATTCTAAATCAGAAATGATTTCAGACAACTAAAGTTTTAAAATTACCAACATTTTAATAAGGTACAAGTTATAGACAGAAAGAGAAACCATCAAAAAGACCCTAAACTATAATCTTTTCTCTCCTCTTACCAAATAAAGAAAGAAATCAAAATAGTCTGTTGGAGGAGAAGGAAGAAAGCTTTTGAAAATAACTTTTAAATCTCATTAAAAAATCTTATTTGGTTCACATTCTTTGGGAATCAGATAAAATCTTGGACATACTCCTCTGAGGAAATACAGTTATGTGCACAAATTGTTGCATATAATTTCACTGTTTCCCAACCTCCTAACATTCTGTTCTTAAAAAATCCCTTTATTTTTGTGATGTTACTTTGAGTTTTTAAACTCTTAATAATAGTAGTTATCCCCTGATTGAAGAAATGAGTATTAGAAAGCTTTTTAGTATATTGTCTGGGGATTATAGCTGGTCAGAGTATTTGTTTTCCCATACATGCATGCTCCCCTGATTATGGTTACCTTGTATCTGAGACTCACAATTGACCTGGTGTTTTAGCTACTCTAAGTCTGCTCCTCAGATTTTAGCTTGCATAAGAATTACTGGAAAAGCTTGTTAAAACAGTCCTGGGCCCCACTGCCAGAGATAAATTCAGTAGGTTTGTGGGGGGCATAAGACTTTGCATTTCTAAATAAGCTCTCAGGTGATGCTGAAGTTATTAGTCTATGACTCTGCTTTTATCTGTGCTAAGTAGTCCTGTGCTAAACTAATCCTGGTTTTCTAGTACAGGAAAGCTTTCCTTATCAGATTTAAAAGGGTGTATAAAAGCTATTCTCATTGGCTACAAAGTGGTTAGGGATTTTCTGTTCTCTGTTTAGGAGAAGCGTTGTTTTAGCTCTTGAGTTCTGCTTTAATTTTTTTTTTAAACCTCTAGCTAGTAATTGTAAAGAATTCTCTAAATGTTTATTTAATTTTACAAGTGGTAAACAGTGGCATTTAGCTCAAGTACTGTTTACTTCCAAGATCATTTGGAGTCTGCTTCCCCTCCCTTGGCGTGAATATGTTAAGATTGGAAAATGATTTAAAGAATGATTATTATTGATGACCATTCATATTATAGCAGAAATGTTATTAGCAAAAATTTTAAATTGTTTTCAACTCTTTTTTGTATTCATAATCTTTATTTGCTACTGTAATTATTTTTATATTTACACATTTTCTCCCAGTCCTTGTCCAAATGAAGATACGTTTTACACAGTTGCATAATTCACATAAATTTTGTTAATCTTTTTATGTTTTCAACTCTTAACAGATGAAGAAATAATTTGGTGTGCTTTTTTTAACTCTTGCGTATTTCCTTTCTTCATCCGAAGATGAGGTACTGATCATGCGAGAATATGCTTAGGGAAATACATGTCACTAGAAAATAAATAGATAAAATGGAATGTAAGTTTAAATGTTGAGTTAAACAGGGATGACAAACATTATTTTATTATTTATAGCATGATATTTTACTCAAAACTGGAAATTTAAGTATAGACTTGATATATAGCTATAAATTAGTATGATTTACGTGTAATAAAATTAATAAAATCTCTTTTGTGTCTCCCAGCTTTCATAGCAACCGTCCAAGTAAAAGGTTTTGTATCTTTAAGAAGTATTCAGAAGATCTCAGGTAACTAGTTGATCTTTTTTCTTATGTCTATTGAAAAATTATGACTTAATAAAAATATTATATATTAAAATTTTGAGATACAGTTCAAATACCATGCAATTCACACATTTAAATTGTTCAGTTAATAGTTTTTGGTATATTCACAGAGTTGTGCAGTCATCACAGTTAATTTTAGTACATTTTTATCAGTTCAAAAAGAAACTCTGTCCCTGTTAGTGGTTATTAGCCCCATTTCCTTCCAACTCCTCCCATCCATGTGCAACCACTAATCTACTTTCTATCTATATAGATTTGCCTATTCTGGACATTTCATATAAATGAAATGATACAATATGTGATCCTTTGTGATTCATTTCTTACCTTTAGCATAATATTCTGAAGATTCATCCATGTCGTAGCATATATCAGTACTTCTTTTTCTTACTGCTAAATTCCATTGTATGGATATATGATAGTTTGTTTATCCATTTAGGTTATTTTAACTTTGAAGCCATTATGAGTATTGCTGCTTGAACATTTGTGTACACACTTTTCATTTTTTAAAGTGTACATTTAGGATTGCTGGGTTATGTGATAACTCTGTGTTGAGCCTTTGAGGAACTGCCAGACTGTTCTACAAAGTACCTCCACTATTTTACATTCCCATCATTAGTATGTGATGGTTCCAGTTTCTCCATGTATTTGTCAGCACTTGTTAGTATCTCTTTTTTATTATAGCCATCTTAGTGGGTGTGAAGTGGTATCTCACTGTGGTTTGTTAAAAAATTTTTTCTAACCTGATGTTGAGGTACTCAGTTTGGAAATCTAAATGATTATTACTGGATATTGCAGAGTTCTAGTCAAGTCATTATATCCTTAGACTAGAGGTTTAATTAGTCTGCATTCTCTTGATAGATTTTTTTTTTCAGGGGTGACCAGTGGTGTCAAGATGAAATGTTCGTGCATTTGCATTGTAAAATGAGGACAAAAAAATAAGACTCTCCAATAATATTTGAATGATAAAAACATACCTAAAATACCTGGCAAAGTGACTAACATTTTTTCAGTTTTAAAGTCAATTTCTTAAATCTCATATTCTTGAAATTAGTATGATATAGTCTATAATTCTTTTCCTTTTTCAAATAAAGAGAAGTGTACAACTTGCTTACTGTGCAGAAAGAACTGTTGATGAATATTTCTAAGGACATTGGTAGTTAACTTTGGTTTTACCACACAGTAACTCAGAATTCAGTGAACACCATTTTTTCCATATTTTTCTGAATTCTTTGGACCCCATTTGCTTCTTTTGTTCATGTTACCATTGCTACTTGAAATACCAGTGTCTTTGCTGCACCAAGCTAATATATGCAGATAAGGTTAGCCACTTGTTTTGATATTGGTGGTTAGCGGAAAAGATGAAAGAGGTGATTATGTCTCAGGACCTTTGTACTCATTATTCTCTGTGACTAGTTTGTTCTTCCCTAGGTTTCTCTGTGGTTATCTCCTTTATCTCTTTCAGGTCTTCTATTCTGATGACTGAGTCTTTCCTTGACCACTTGATTTAAAGTGGTATTCTCTCTCTTATGCTCTAGCCCAGCACTCTTTATCTCCTTTCTATGCTGCATTTTTCTCTAGATCATCTTTTATCACTGGATACATTGTATACTTTATTTTCTGGATTCTCTCACTAAAATTTGTGTGGTTTGGATTTTTGTTTATGCCAGACATTGATAGGTGCCTGGCACATGGTAGGCACTCAGTAAATATTTGTTGAATAAATTAATGTATATATTGAAAACGACTTATGTAGACAGTAGGTCCTGTCTATGCTGTTGGACCATTAGCTTACATAGAGAGAATATTTTGACTCAGTTTAAAAAATACATTGGTACTAATTTAAAAACATTTACTGAATCGAAGGAGATAAAGTAAGTTATATTAGATGTCTTTACTGAAAATTTTTTATAAAAATGAAAAGGGTTTTACTGCTTTCAAAAGATGAGATTTTAGATAGCTTTTTACCTCACTGTTGTCAAGCTCAGTGGCATGTTTGGTTTTTAAGTGAATTACATGATTTTAAAGATCTGGGATGGTTTTTCTGTCAACTTGAATAGGTCTCAAGTTGAAAATTTTTTTATTTCTGTGACTGGAACACAGCATACTTAAAATTTTATAGAACAGTAACTTTTGTAATTATTCTTTTATTGGAATGGAATATACATTCTTTAGCTATTATGCAGTTATTAGGTATGTAATGTAGCAGGTCCTATAAAGATTTAACAATAATAATGAACAAGTCTTGGAACCAGCCTCCAGAGAATGTACAGGTTATTGAATGGGAGATAAAGGGTGAATGTCCATAACTACACTAAAGTAAGGGGGATTTTAATAAATGCAGTCAGGGTTATTTTTTTCAAATGGGGAGAGATGACTCTGCTTAGAATTATCTGCATAGGTGTTACTTTACTTGGCTTTAGAGGATGAGTATCGTTCATATCGATAGAAGAGGTACAGGGGCATTGAGTTGGAATGGCCTGAATAAAGGTACAGAAGTGAAAAAGTAAAACTCATACAGAGGAAATGGTGGTAATAAATGTATATATTTATGGAGCATCTAAGTTCATATAATAGTAATAAAATTGAAATCTGGGTTAGTAGTTTTGAGCTTAGAGCCAGATTGGGAAAGCATTGAAACTAACGCTAAGGAGTTTAGACTTACTGGAGGTCACTGGAGAACCTTTGATGTTTTTATATAAAATTGAGTGAAATTGGAGCAAAGCTGAATTTCTTCTCAATTTCAACAATAGGGTGAGTTAATGATACATGAATCCTATAGCTTAGAACTTCTGTGGCAGTTATGAATGATCTAGTAAGGACCTGAGTTAAAATGATAAGGTAGTATTACATCATCTTTAAGAAATTAGGCTCTAGAATGAAAGTACTCAGTTTCAAACCCAGCCCTGACCTTTACCACCTCTATGCCCGTGGTAGATGACTAAGCTAACTCAATCCTGTATGAAAAGGTGATAACTTATAGCACCTACCTTTTATGGGTTTGTTAAGATTTAGCTGAGATGATATGCCTAAAACTGTTAGACTAGCACAGAATTAGTACTCAATGAATTGTTAATATGAAATGCTTGACATATTGACTGTTTAAGGAAGAAGAGATGGAGGTAACTATCGGTTGAGCTTATTTGTCAGAGGAATTGGCATAAGAACGGCCAATCAGGATGAGTTAATTTTGGAAGGAAGTACATGCATGATTTTAGCTTTATGAAGTTCATTTTTTTATGGGCCAGTGTGACATCTAAGGGTAAATATGCAGCATACTGTTAGACTAGAGCTTCAGGGGAGAAGTCAGTCTAAGGTATGTTATTTGTATTTATATATTGGTAAAACACTTAAAATTTTAAAATATATGATAAACTTCAAAAATGTATTTATGCTTCATTAATAAACTGACAATAAAAATGATCACATTACATAATTCTTTTTCACCTAAGCAAAAATAATTTATTAGCAGGATTCCAAAGAATCTCATGGATCCCTAGAAGGACGGACTACAGGCAGAATATATAAGGGAAACAGAAAGCCATTAGTTACTAATGTGGCTTCTTTCTAGTCTGAGCTGCTGAAGCAGGATGATCTTGTCTTTATTATTTTCTCTGGATGTGGGTTCCATTCTCCTTTGTGCAAACAAGCTTTCTCTATCAATGACCCAAACATAGCATTCCCAGCCTCCCACATTTTCCCACATCAAGAAATTTGATTATAAATCCCAGTTACAAGAAAAGGCTTGAGTTAGACATTCTGCCCCTGGTCCAATTAACTATGTCCAGTGAAATAGGTATTTAACTGTTACTTACCATTGAGACTACTTTTAGTGTCTGTGAGGGCAGTTTGTTAGTAAAAAAAGACATATAATTAATTATTACATGTAAGTATTTAAATCTTAACTTTCCTTAAGCTTAAAAATAATCCATTTAGAAATCTAGTACCTTTTAATAATTACTTTAAAGAGGGCTTATTAAATCACTTTAATTAATGTTTGATAAAGTTCATTTAAGCTGAACAGACTAAATTTTTCAAAACTGTCTCATTTACCATTCACTTAACTTTAAAAGATTTAGCATAATTTATATGTTTAGTGTATTTGATTTTCTTTTAAACAGTTCTTCAGATGCTTGACCCACAGCTCCCAAGTGCTTAACTCTAATAAATATGATAAATTAAACAAGTGGCTTTCTAAGTTCCCTGAAACATTTGCATATTTCTGAGGCTTAATAATATTTTTAAATACCTTTCAACTAAAAATTAAAAGTTTAAACACATTTTAAACTAGAATCTTAAAAACAATTTTACATACTGTAATATGGCAGTTATGTTTAAATACTTCAAATAACGAATGCTACTCAGATTGATCCAATAAGGATAAAAAACTATTCCTGAGTTCAACAGAAAGTATTGATGACTGTGGGAATTGTTTCCTGACTATTTTGAAAATTTATTATCATTGTACATTTCATTTAAGAACTACGGTCCTCAGTGAAGTTTTGTTAAAGGATCAAGTAGTTTAGGCCCCAGCAAGTGGGCCAGTTCACAGTACTGGGATGCTGAGGAACTCAAGTTTTGGACTTCAGTAGTGAATTAACTGCTTTAGTTAATTCAGTGTTAAATGAGAATAATGTCAACCTTGGATGCTGGTGGTGGGAATTTAAGTAATATATGAGAAAATCTTTAACACATAGTACACAATGATAGCAGCTATAATATGATCTGTTTTTAAAGCCTTCGTATTTCTAATTTTTTCTTCACCTAGATAAACACTAGATAAAAGCTCCATTAGAGCACAGATGTATTTTTTACCATCATTATATTCAAAATACAGTACAATAGTAGTACAGTATGTATAAAGACAGCCTTAACAAACATAGATTGACTAATATATATATAGTACATTTATATATATTGTACTCTCACTATGCAGATGGGCGTAGGCACTTGTCATAGTGACACACGTTAGTGGAGCCAAGGCTGCACTGTGGTCTATTGACTCTTAGCTTTTAGCAACTGGTGTGAGAGAAAAAAGTTTGTAAAAGCAAAAATACTTTTTGTAAATAAGTGGTAGCATAATTTGAATATGACCGTGCCATTTTCTAGAGAACCATTTCGGTTATATCAAGTTAATGTAACAAAAATGGGAGTGACAGTTATGACACAGAAAGCAAGCCATGGAAAAATAATCATTGCACTGGTGTATGGATTTTCATAAAAGATAAAAACCTTTTATACTATTTGCTTTGTTTTTTATAGGGGCATTACTCTAGTGTGCCTTAATTGTGATTTCCTAACTGATGTTTCTGGCTTAGATAACATGGCTACACACTTAAGTCAACACGAAACTCATGCCTGCCAAGTTGTGTTAGAGAAAGGTACGTATATATAATTGTGTTGCTTTGGATTTTTGACATTTATTCCAGTATTTTTGGTCAGCTACACTATGCTTTACTAAATCGTTATTCTCACTCATTATATTTCATATACTGTTTTAAATATAAAACTTTTCTTCTGATTTCAGTTTCTGTTTGTATCCCAACTTCTGAACATCTTTCTGAGTAAGTTTAATTTTTATTCAGTGCATTTTACTTTGATAGATTTTAGCACTATTGCATATTACATTTTTAAATGTATCATTAATAGAAATGAAAAATATTAAAGTATTTTGTTTTTTTTTTAAAGCTGCTTGTTGAAATAGGTTCCTGCTCTATGGAGCTCGTGACCTGGTGCAAGACAAGTTGGAATTTCCTAAGTTCAAAGTTCTGAGATGTTTTCTTACACAAAGGCAGTTAAGCAGCCAAGTTCATGACACTAGCAATCATTATTCAACTCTTTTCAGCTTCAAATGGGACTAGATTCTTATTCCACCTTATCTTTGTGTCAGGTTGACATATCTTAACATACGTTTTTTTTCTCCAGTTGGCTCTCTCCAAAAATAGCTTTTGTTGCTCTGGTCATTTCTTACTTTGCTTAAAATAATTTGTGTTTTTCTCTGTATACTTGCCTTCAGATAAATACATTCTAAATGATGTGGCTGTTTGTCTTTTTGTCTGTTTTGTCTGCTTTCTTAATTTCTTATAAGTCTTAAGTTTTTAGGCCAGATGATTGTCTTTTTCCTCATTCGTTGTCTGTCATTGTGCTATTTTTCTTATTTTTCAGATGGAGAAGCAGCCCAGAGATTTCAAAAAATGTCCAGGGTACACCTGGACAGTGTCCCCCTTCGATGGACACAACTGATGCCTGTTCTCTCTTTCCAAGGAATGTGACTAATTTGACCTTGGGACCTGCTCTAGGTTGTGGTCTCAAGAAATCAGATCTTGGGGAGACTCCCTTCCTTCATGGCTGGCCTTCCGTAAGGCTGATGCTGATATAGCCAGAGATGGTCTCAGGGCCCACCAAATTGAGCACAACTTACCACTGGAGCTTTAGCTCTTGCTTTTAAGTTTGTGGGTCACATCTGGCCAAGAAAATCAAATCTATGCTTCAGCCTCGAAGCTGAAGTTTAGTCATTTTGGCTGCTACCCTTTAATCTTCCTCTAGCATGAATGCATCCAAGGAATACAAAAGCTCTGGTTGTTAGGAGACCATGGTTATTTTCATGTCCTTGGAACAGCAGGTCTTTACAGTTATGTTCCAGAATTTCATTTATTCTTACTGTTATTCAAAATACATTACCCAATAGTAACTTTATAATTTTTTAGCAATATCAATTCTCAGATTTATTATTTTTTAAAAATTTAGGCTAATTTTGATAGCTTGGCTTTATGTTACCCAAATTTACTGATGTCTATTTTATGTTGTCTATTTTTATATTCTTTTCTTTAAAACTGTTGTTTAGTGTTTGCTTTGTTTTATTAAGAGCTCC